CCCTAACCACCCCTTTTGCTTTCATGCTGTCGTGGTTTAGCCCCAGCCAGCAACTAAGCACCACGTGGCCGTTCACTCCTCCCCCCCAGTGGGATGGGAAGGAGAATCGAAAACAAGTAAAACTCATGGGTTGAGGTAAGAACAGTTTAATAATTGAAATAAAATGAAAATAATAACAGTAATGAAAAGGAAGATAACAAAAAGAGAGTGAAATATAATCCAAGAAGGACAAGTGATGCACAATGCAGTTGCTCACCACTCGCTGACTGATGCCCAGTTAGTTCCTGAGCAGCGATCCCCCCCTTGGCCAACTCCCCCCAGTTTATATACGGGACATGACATCACATGGTATGGAATATCCCTTTGGCCAGTTTGGGTCAGCTGTCCTGGCTGTGTCCCCTCCCAACTTCTTGTGCCCCTCCAGCCTTCTTGCTGGCTGGGTGTGAAAGGCTGAAAAAATCCTTGACTTAGTCTAAACACTACTTAGCAACAACTGAAACCATCAGTGTGTTATCAACATCCTTCTCATACTAAATCCAAAACACAACATTATACCAGCTACTAGGAAGAAAATGAACTCTATCCCAGCCAAAACGAGGATGCATGCTAATCTGTGGTTGAAATTTCCACTATTTCTCACAAGGCTTTTGCCTGGCATGCACACATACTGAGCACAGCTTTAGAATAAAAAAAAAAAAAATACAGAGCAGTGTTCAGCTGAAGTGTACCAGAAGAAAAATCTGGAAATACAATGGATGAGCCTTCTGGTCCTGAAGAGCAAGACCTCCGCAGTGTCTTGCAGGCATCAGTTTGAACACCTTACCTTCTCTCTACTAACTGTTGTTTTTAGCAACTTAGCATTTTTTCCAAGTAATGATTTCTTCCTCAAATTACTGGTGTAAGTTTTACTTGGATTCAAGAAGGAAAAAATGAAATGTTTAGAAATGGAGGGAACACTTTGTTAATTGGTAGCAGCATGTATGCTCCAGAGTTGGCATGTATCCTACTGCCTGTAAGCTTCATTAACTTTTGATAACAGTTAATTTTTCAGACTCCTTTTTTATGGATATTTCATTGTTTAAGAAATTAGATCATGGTTTTCTTCCACTTCTACTTGTAGCCAAATTTGTGCTTTATTTAATGACGTTTAGTCTTGCTCGCTCCTCTCTATTTTATGTGGTATTTGCAAGCATGAGGGAATGCACTTGATTTTGGGTTTGGGATTTTAGTGTTTCATGAGACTACCTGAAACTGATTCTTTTTGCATAAATAATACTACAGAGTGCTAGTTCTAGTGGTGCCATAAACGTTATTGTTCCCTTCGGTTGGAGTGGGAAGCCTGTTTGCCTGTACTTTCTTGATGCTTTCTCCTGGGGTAAGATGGTTTTGTGATGGCAGCAGCAAGTTACTGCTAGCAGGAAGAACTGCAACCAAAAACTGCGAACTTGTGTGCATAACCTGCATTGAGAGCTTGGAGGATGGAGCACAACCTAGGAGGAGAAGGAGGAGGAGGGTGTGTAGTTGCAGGGTCTCTTTCCTGGTCGGGAGGCTTAGGCAGGGCAGACTTTCCCAGCGGAAGGAAAGCATGCACTTAGCAGGGCAGAATCCATTGTGGTTGTTTCCCTGTGACCAAGTTTTAGATGAAGTCAGTCTGGCTGATGTGACCAGAGAACTTCAGCCAGTCTTTTTTCTGTTGAAATCCTGAATCATCTTTCAAGGGAAGGGAGAATATTAGCCAGCTGGGAAATGCAGGAATGGAGAAACCAACTCGGTCTGTTCTGGAAAGCCTTGAAACCACTCCTTCCTTCTGGAAAAAAGCAATCCTCTGAAACAAACTAAAGAGGAAACCTCTAAAACAAACCAAGTAAAGTACCTCTGCAAAGCCCCAGGTGAAATGCAAGCCCCTCACCCCTGAAATTCCCTGTGCTTTCCCCTCTGCGGTGAGCACAGGGGGGTTTTCCTACTTCCACCCTCGCATGTTCGTGAGGAAGCTCTGAATTTCCCGAAACCGGAGCACAAGGTGGTTTCCCCAGGCTTTTTCAGGAGATTTTACCTTTTATGTTACATCAGTTGCTGGAAGCATTTGAATGGAATGAAAAGATTTTGAAGAAACCTCCTTGTAACTTTTGAGGATGGGTTTAGGTTTGCTCAAGGGCCGCCCATTTGGCCAAACTCACAGTAAGATCTTCACAAGACATTTTCTGGCTGGAGTTTGTGTTCCTTTGCTACCAATTCAGGTACTGTGTGTCTTGTGGGTGTGGAGTTTCAGGGCACCACATGTAAAGCCCGCAGCGTAGCGAGGTGACAAGTGTGGGGCAGGCAAGCATGTGAGATGGCAGCCTGGTTCTCCCTGCCCTGTGTTATCAGGGAGAAGAACAGAGTAATTTAGTTCTTCTGTTTTGTCTGGCCCTACTGACCACGGTGTATTTAATCAGCTGCTCTGCATACCTTCAACTTGGACAAGAGTGTCAACTCAAGCCATATAATTAAGCTGGGAAATGAGATTTCCTTAGAGCAAATATAGAGCTGGGAAATGAGTAAGGAGTTTAGGAATACTCCAGATCTGTGGATTGTCATTTACATATTTGTGCCTGAAAATGACTCATGTCTCTTGGTAGACATCTTGGCTTCACTCTTTGAGGAAGCTTCCCTTAGCTATATATATATATATATATGTATGTATGTTTAAATTTTATAAAACCTCATTCTTGCAGGGAAAATGCTTGGTGAAAAGCATGTACTGAGTGGTTTCCAATCCTGCTCTGGCTCTCTTAACTTTTCCAGTCTGCTCCTGAGCATTGTCCTTGAAACTATGTGGTGCAGATCTACCAAAACCCTAGCTAATGAAACATGTGCTTGTCGCCTGTCTGCTGCTCAGCACAGGATGAGCTGCAGCCCAGAGTGCTGCCAGCCCAGAACAGGACAGCAGCGGCTCGTCACCCTGTTAATCACTGCCAGTTAGTGCTTGGCAGCCTCACGGAGCGGGGTCCCATTCTGCCGTTTCACCTTGTGTCTCGGCTCTAGCCCCGTTCCTGCCAGCAGCTTCTAGTGCCGAGTGCCAGACCTGGCTGCCTTTCAGCTTCTGTTCTTGCTGTAGGAAGCATGCTCAGTGACTTAGAAGTCTGGAATCGTTCCTGTACTCTGAATTAAAGGTTTCGAATGAAAGAAACAGCTTATTGTACTTGGTGCCTTTTCAGGATTCTGCTGCGTTCTGCTTACATGCAGGGCACTTATTCCCCTGGCAGGGATTTTATCATAAAATATGAAGCTTAATTTTCATGTGCTTCAGATTGTTCCCTTAAAGATCGTAAAGATCCTTTTTTGTTTGTTTGTTTTTCTCCAAACAGCACCATGCCTGTTAGAGCATCGTTTAGCATTGCACTTGGGGTTTGGCATGAGAGGAGAAGTACATGTGTTTTGGATCGTGTGCCACTGTGGTTTTTTGTCCATGGACATGACACGCCTTTGTGTGTGGAGCACTTGTCCTCGTCCCTAGCAAATGCTGGAGCCTGTTACAAGCTAAGCATTTATGTAATTGGGCTTTGGGCTCCTGTGTCAAATCTTTCTGGTTGTGCATCATCAGCATTTTTTACCGCAGTGCTGCTTTGCATGCCCTTCCCCATGTCTTTGCATGATTCTGCAGTCTTCCTTGACAGAAGTTTTGTAAATTATGCTTTAGCAAAGCAACCAGGAGAAGATTTCTAAAAGCAGTTCTCTTCCCAGGGAGAGTGCCATCTCTAAGCGAGAAAACCTGCTGGTGGATGTTAATTCAGCCCACAAATCTTGAACAAGGCTGGCACACTATAGCTGCTCACTCGCACTGATGTTTCTTGGTGGGGAGGAAGGTACTTATTAACTCAAGGCTGAAATCTGATGTAGGAGCAGCAGAGCAAATGTTCCTCTGCCAGTAAGAGCAGCCTTTTCTCTCATCTGTTTGCTCTGGCAAGGTATCACACTGGCGGTTGCCTTTTCTCCCCTGCTAAACGTGGCCTTCCGGAAAAGATCCCTTTCCTTACTCTCTGTGTGTGGATGAAACAGATGACAGAGTGGACTTGAGGGGAGGTACTTTTTAGCACAGAAGTGTCTCCCCATTTGAAGTCTGATGGCTTTACTGTCCATGCCCAAAAAAGCTGGGAGTCGCCAGTGCTGGGGAAGGATGCTCGGAGAAGGTGGAGGGAAAAGAAGCAAGAGAGTCTTCAAGGCTGGAGAGCAGCTGACTGGAAGCACTTAGACTTGTTTAAACTATGTTAGTGTAGTGTTATAGAGCACTTCTGCCTTAAAATAGGTAAATAAATACCTCAATTGTTAGAAGCCTGAACGCCCCCGTTTCCATCCCTGCTCGTATTTATCAGCCCTGTTACAGTGAGGTGTTGTGTGGATAACGCAATAGGGTCTGTTCCACTTGCGTCCGGATTTCAGTGCCTGAAAGCTGTTCCCCCGCTGTGTGGCTAGCTGGCAACTTCTCCATCTGTCTCGCTGCTTTTATGCCAAAGCAGTGCAGCTCTCGGGCTGATGTTTGGGCACAACCTCCAGCGGTAAGTTAATGCGACAGTTGCGAGGCTGAAGAGCGAAGCCGGGTGGTGAGATCTAGGAAACTGGTTCCTTTGAGAAAACAACAAATGTTTGGACTCTCCTGAAATATATGCAGGAGTTCAGAAGTAACTTGTTTTTCAGCACAGTGTTGGGTGCCTCTGTGAACATGCTCTACTGCCATAACGGGCAACAGCCTAAAAATCCCACTGCCTTCTGCAATGCTGCTCTTAAGGAGGTACCCTCTGTAGGGAAAATACATTGAGGATTAGGAAGCAAAGCTTCTTCCTGCCCAGTTTGTGGCAAGCTGGCTGGATTCTGGGAGGCTGCTCAGATCCCAGGCCCTCTGAGGCAGGGACAACCTCTTCTGTTTTCGTACAGTGTTCAGCATGGCAGGGTCTTTTAAAAATGCTTTTCCTAATATGCAATCGGGTCAATAATCTCTCTTTTGTTTTCTCCTTCCGCTAGGTTGCTATAAAGATAATTGATAAGACACAGCTGGATGAAGAGAACCTGAAGAAGATTTTTAGAGAAGTTCAGATCATGAAGATGCTTTGCCACCCACATATCATCAGGTTATACCAGGTAGGAGCACTCTGCAGTGGGTTTTCCATCCCTCTGCACGATAGCTTTACGCTGACTGTATAGTAATGCTTTCTCTAGGGTTATCCCTCCATTTCTCCTATGTGAAATAATGGGAAAGTCTTTTATGTTTTCAGGGTCTCAGGGAACTTTGATTAGAGGGGTGGGGGGAAAGTGTGGCTAATCCTTCTATTTTCTGGGAGATCACACTTCCGCTGTGGGCTGGCCTCTTGCCATTTGTTTATGGCTATTGTGTGCTTTTCAGTTTCCCAGTTGAAACCGGATGCGGGCTCCCCTTCTCAATTTAAGGGAGAGAGTAAGTCTTACCCGCTAGCAGGACTGAAAGCATGCGACTACTTGGCTCTCCTCTCTCTGCCCAGTTGCCCTGTGGCTCCAAGGACTTGTTGAAAGTCCTTCCCAGGAAGATCCCTGGAAGGTGATCAATAGCAGCGGCAGACCTGCTTTTGAATATTGTTTGCAGACTTCCTCCAGCTTGTTTGGCATCTTTACTCTGCAAACAAAACCACCAGAGACAGAATCCATGTGTGTTGCCTTTTACACACATATTCGGTGGTGCCCCTCTGACTGCACGATCAAATAGAACAGCAAGGAAGTTGCAACTGGCTGGAGACAAGCAGGCAGCAGAGTGATGGGAGCGGAGGAACAAAGGGGACCAACACCTTGGTGAAATGTTAAAAGCTGTTTCAGAAGCTGTTGGACAGATGAAAGACTCCCGCCCTGGGCCTTTCTGATACAAGGGCTCAAGCAGTGACTTACAACCAAAGAGTGCTAAAAAGCTCTGTGCAAACTGTCCTCTCTGTTGCTTGCAGTCCCAGTTCTGGGGAGCTGTGGGACAGAGGCTTCTTCCCAGGGTCGTGCCAGAGCTGACCACTGACTGCCAGATTCATGCAGAACTACCTGCACCTTTGATGGAGCGGTGCACTTGCCAGAGGGCTCTCAGTCACAGGCTGTTTTGGGAATGGAGGGGACTTCCATCCAAGCTGTGGATGGAAGGTTAGCTCTTCTTTGGGCTGGTATGGAAAGTGGAGAAAGGACTGTCCAGGGCCCTTCCTGGGGACAGTGTTCAGGTGCAAGAGACTAATTAAAGATGGGTGATCTCCTGTTTGTGGCTGCCTGACTCGGATGGCAGGCATTGGAATGTGAAAAACTTGGAATCCTGGGGGAAATATGTTGGGGTTATTTCCTTTTGTAATGTAATGTTCGTGTGTGCATTTTAAGGGAGAAGTTGTGGTAACCTGCAATAGAAGTTGCTATTCCCTACAACCAGCTTTTGTCTGTTCAAGCCCAGTCTGCTTCTCATCTGTGCCTGATAGATAGGAGTATTTACCGGGACTCCAAAGAGTTAAAACTGAGTAGAAGTGACAGAGGTTAATGTTTAGCTGTTTTGGCCAAACTGTCAAGTGTGAGATGCTTACAGCAAACACTGCAGAATTGCGGCACTTTTAAGGTACTTAGGGAATGTTTGTTTGCAAACTGACTCCTTAAACCTTTTTTTTTTTTCTGAGCCAAAAATCCCTTTTTCAACCTGTTTTATTCCATCTAAAGCTTTTGGTATGATACTGAACAGGTGACACTTGTGGCTCGGTTTTGCTAAGGTGAGAAAAGAGTACCCACTGTGGAGCATGTTTCATCTGGCTGTTCTTTCTGGGTACTTTCAGTGGCATTTATTTTTAGATAAAAGCTACTAAAACCTGGAGTTGGGAATTCAGAGCCTTTCACAGCTTTTCATCAGGAATCTGACTTTAAAAATCACATTTCCTTGAGCTTATAGAACTTAAAAGGTGTAAGTGAAAAGGAGAAAGTGTCTATAATGCTAGTAGTCTATAATATAAGAGATTCTGTCTGGAAACAGAAACATGCTTAAAAATATCTACTGAAGGCTTCTCTGGACATGTAGTAGCGCCATTGAGTGGGAGCTGTACATCATGCCCTGTGACACTTGAGCAGAACTGAGGTTCATCTTCGTTATACTCTTAACATTCAGCATAATAGTGATCCAGCTGTTAAAGCAGCTGCCGTTGTCTGGATCAGGCTTGTACCTTTTAAAATATGAAGTCTGCATGTTCGAGTCCTAATTCTTAGTAGGAAAAAGCAGTGTGGGGCTCCAAATGCCAAGCTTCTCTGTTGGGATAATAGTCCATTTTGTGTCAAAAAGTGAACTTTCACTTGTCTTTGAAACGGAGAAAAGCCAAAACGAAACCAAAATGTTTCCAGGCCTTTTCTAAACACCCTGGAGTATGCAAATGGACCTCTTAAACCTGGCACTGGAGGTTCAGCCCTGCAGTCCTGGAAATGAAACACGGTGTTTTTTTCCATTGACAAAGCCGCAAACCTGCTAAATAAACGGCGTCAAATTTTGGAAAACACCCCAAGTGCGTACTTTCCTGAAGGCAGGTCACAAAACCTAATCCAGTCACAAAACAGCCCTCGGAGCCACCGTTACCAAATCTGCAGGCAGGAAGGCATTATTTGCTGCTTTTTCTATGCTCAGTGCAATTGCGTGCCCTCACCCACTGTCTATTAAGCATTAAAAATGTAGTTGAGGCCTGTCTTTAGCATATAGTGCCTTGCCCTATGCTTTTCTTCTCTTCTGTATCCTGATAGGGCCTTTCCTAGAAGTTGTTCAGGACTCTGACGTCATTTTGGAGTATAGGTTTCACTAAAGATGATAGAACTGTGCTCAGAAATCAGTCGTACGCTTCCGAGAGTCCTGTGCAGCAGCCCTGCAGTGGTGTGGAGCATGGCATTGCTCTCCGTCAGCCCCTTGCTGCCTTTTGTCTGCCCTTTACAGAAATCCCATCTAATATATCGCCAGCAGTCACTGCTATCATCCCAAAATCCTAACTGACTCTTAAAAAATGTGTGTTAAAAACTGTGAAAAATGTGGCATTACCTGGCTGAACCATGCAGCCTCCCTAAAGCAAAGCTCATGCTGTGGTTTACGTCTAATAGGTCTTGACTCATTTGAAAGTTGCTTATTGATTCAGCAAATATTCCTCCCTTTGGCAAAATTGCATTGGTTATTTTAGTGCCTGCAATGGACTGATTAATTGAAAGGGTGAACTAAGTTTGGTTGTAGGAGCCCTGAAAAGTCTCCCAGGCTGCTGGAATGAGACAAAACTGGGGAGCAAATGCTAAAGGAAGGGGAAATAGAAGAGGAGGAAGGTGAAGTGTTGTGTTTAGTTACAGATTTAGTGTTTAAAACTTGCTGTTTGATTCTTACTTTCCCCAGTTCCTGTCCATTCCTTTGCATAGCTCTGTAAAGCATGGGAAAGTAATATTTTTGATTTGATGAAAGCAGTTACGCGTGTTATAGAAAGAATAAATTTTTTTTAGTTGCGTTTCTTTTTGCACACAGCAGTCTCCTTATCTGTCACTTTTCTGTCCTTGCGTCCAGGTTATGGAGACGGAGAGGATGATTTATCTAGTGACAGAGTATGCTAGTGGAGGGGAAATATTTGGTAAGTACATTTATTGCATTCTTTAATCAGATAATGCACTTGGTTGACTACAGTAAACTGAAAATAGCTGCCACGCTCTCTTGTTTCAGTAGAGAGATGCCCTTCAGCCTGAAAACTTTCCATTGACAAAAGGGGTAAAGAAATAAATGCTACCAACTTAATGGAAAAATAACTTCCATAACCTCTGTTTCTTCTTTGGGTTTCATTGACAGGTGGTGCTGCTACTTTTTTTATGCTGACTTTGGGATTAAAGACATTGGAAATAGTAATCCAGTTGGATTTTAAAGTGTTGCTGAATACTTTGCTTCCCAGCAAGTTATTTCAAACTTGTTGACGATAGCGGAAATGTTGTTTGTTGGTAGCTTTCAAAGAAACAGGCAGTCCTGTGGTTCTGTAGTATTTTGTTCTCAAAACCATGTATTTTCTTATCTTTTTCATATCTGATGTTATCTTAGCATGTATTAGTTACATCCATTTTAAACTCCATTGTCTGCTAAGAATATTTTGGCTGAGCTTTCTTGACCACAGAAGCTATTCTTTAAAGGCAAAAAAGTATCTGTGCAGCACAATTGCAAGAACTGTTGACTGATTTATTAATTTGTTTTATTGCCATGACCAGTAAGAAACTTGTAGAAATAGAGATTTACTTACACACTGGAATTTTGCACCGGGTGGCAGAGTCAGAATTTTGCAAGATTGGTCTTTACTAACTTAGCCAACATGAGCCTCAGAAAAGGGGGCAAATCCTTCATACTTGAAGTGAGCTGGCTTAAATCTGCTTCCAGGCAGTGTCCTTGTGAGGACAGTCACATACAGCCTGTCGGCTAAATGGAAATACTCTCCTTTTTGTCCTGTTAAGTCATTGCAGCAGATTCACTTTTGATGTCAGAGCCTCTCACTCTGCTGGAACTGGCGGCCGAGTTGTAATAAAAGGTGAAGCTCTTAGAGAAGCAAGACAAGCTCCAAATTAAGGAAAAGGAAAACAACTTGAGCTGAAAAATGCTGGTTTCTGGTGAATATAATCTAATACCAGTTCCTTAGTACCTTCGTAGATGGCCATCATGCCTTCTTCTCAACATTGTCCTTGTCCTTTGGATTTCTTCTCTGAGAAGGTGACAGCTGAAGGAAGAAGCAAGTAGTAGCTGATGTTTGGAAAGTGTGTATTGCCTGGTGAAAAACCCGACTTCCTCCAGCTGAGTCTTCCAGTTGTTTCCTCAAACATGAATCACGGTGCTAGGCACCCAGCGGTTCTGGAAGCTTGTGAAATTCGTCTTACCTTGTGCGGCAAGCCATAATTGCAGCAAAATCACTTGAATGTGTATTAGAGTTCGCTTGTGTGTGGATCACTGCAGAAAAGTATAAATGACTTTTTGCTTTTTCTCCCTCTTCTGGTGAATTTGGCAGAGATGGGCTTGTCTTTTTTAAATCCAGAACTATGTGCAAGCTCATATACGAACTTGGAATGAATTCTCTTAGCCTTCTACGCGAGTCGAAGTGAAAATCTCATTGCTTTCTGAAATATTTTATGCTGTAGTAAATTCAGCTCATTAGCATGGCTAATTTCCATTACACTGCCCAGCATTTTATCCTCATGGATAGCTGGGAGCAGCCAGTTATGTAAGAGCCATGACATTTTTCCAGACCAAAGCCAGAGGTTGTGCCCCCGCTAGCCGGTTTTGAGCGTTTTCAGGCACTGCGCGAGGCCCTGTGTGCCCTCGGTGTTGGAGCAGAGAGGGGGAAACTAAAGTCTCAGCTTTTTGTAATCGGAGTTTCCTGAGGAGCCACGAAGACTTTGTTCTAACAGCGGAAGCAATTTACAGGGAGGAAACAGCAACCCATTTTGGGAAGGCTTCCTTGCAGTCGTTAGCATCTCCAGTACTAAAGAATCTCACGTCCTCATGTTGTTGAGAGAAAGTCTATCGCAGCGCAGGCTGGCTTCGCACCCGCTGACTCTTCCATACTATCGTGCAGCGGGCGGAAGCTGGGGCTTACCTGTTATTAAGGATAAAACATTGCCTACACATTGCTTCAACTCAACGCCTGTCCCTCTTATGGTAGGGTTGTTAGGGATCGCTGGACATGCTGCTGGGATAGCCGTGTTAGGTGCGTATGGACAGTGCAGTCACTGTGTCCATTACTGTGCACTGGGGAATCCTCTATTAAATGTGCCTGTGCTGAGCCTTTATCTCTTTTTCTTGATTGTCTCCTAACATCTGCATGACCTAGGTTTTGAAGTGTAGTGCTGAGCTGCAGAAATGGGGGGCGCTGGCAGCCATGGTTTTCTGGATGCTAAACGCTCGGTGTGAGGCTGAGTGCCTCATATAATCCGAGTTACAGTGTCAGGCTTTTGTGAATGGCAAGTTTTTGTTAGAAGCAAATCTAAGTTGTTTCCCTTGGTGCTTTAAAAAGACTTTCACAGGCTTAAACTGTACCATACAACTGTAAATATTACATGGGCAGCAATATAGGTTGGAATTTTTAGCTGAAAGAATGGTAGTTTCTCTAAATGGCCACGGTTTAAATCAGTCAGTGTTGGACGCTTGTCTGTCTTGTGCCTGGTTGGTCTGAGCTCTGCAGGCTGTTCTGGGTAGGCACCTGGGAGAGCTTTACAACCTGTTTATCTGAATTTCCAGTAAAAGGGCTGATAGCTCCTTCAGTGGCCAAGCTGTGCCGTAAGTGTCTTTGATTCATCTGTTACTGGAAACGTTTTGATAATTCGCTTTGTTTGCATAGCACTGCATGGGGATCAGGGGGAAGACTTGCTTTCGCTATGGGCTTAAGCAGCAAAATGTAAATTGTTATTTTTTTCCCTATGCATGTTTTACGTATGGTTGGGTTGCTGGTTTGACATCATGAACAAATTAATGTCTCCTTTTAAATATACGGTGCTCTTTGTTCCAGGTCCCTTGAGTGTCCTTTTTTGCGGTCAGACAGAATACAGTCTAGAAGTCTGTTTTGATTTCAGCTGTTTACTATGAATACTGTAAATAATCTGCAGCCCTCATTGACAAGAATATGAGTACTTGGTTGATTAACAAAAATTCTCAGAAAGCTTGACAAAATTCTCGTCTGGTTAATGTGGTTAGCACATCTGCTGTCTCTGCCCTCTCTCCCCATCTCCTGCCTGTTTGTCCTGAGCTTTCTGAGTGTGAACTGGACAGAGGCGTTAAACAACGTGGTATCAGTCTCTAAGAAGGTCAGGCTGCTTCTGAGATCACAAGGTCACCAAATACGCTGGAAATGTGACTTAATCCACCACCCAGAAGAGATGTAAAGCTTAAGCAGCATTTGTTTTCCAGACAGAAAGCAACTTAAAAGCGTGAGGAGTCTGTCCAGAGGTGAAAAGTGGAAACTTGTGTATCAGTCCTGTCTCTTAACCAGAAGATGCCTTTTCCTCAGTGTAGGATTTTACTGGGTTTTTTAATGCAGAGAGCAGCATCAGATGCTTCATATAAGTACAGACAACAGTGACTGATGTTTTTAAGGGTTGCGAAATGAAATCGTGCATTCCTTCCTCTCTGGAAAACACTCAAAGGAGCAACGCCGTACACATCTTCAGCTCCCGCAGAGCACACTGACGTGTGTATGACCCAGCAGCAAGTCTGTGCCTCTGGACTTGGTGCACTCAAGATCAGTGTGCTGGCTCCCAGCTGAACATTCAGGTCATCTCTGTAACCTCCATTGCACAAGAGGTTTATGCAGACTAAGCCTGCAATGGTTAATTTTGGCATACAGTTGCCCTTGGTGGTATGTGAAGTATTCTGTAGCTTCATTGTTTCTGTCCTTCCTCTGGAGCTTGTGCAGAAATGTCAGCGGTCTCCAAGTGCTGTGCCTACGTGCAGAGCTTGGGGACTGGCCTCTGCTCACATTTCTTCATGAAAAGTGAAATTTCATGCCTAACCTAAGAAGATTTTTTTCACAGCCTAAGCAGGACTGACTAATAAAAGGCGCAGCAGAGTTTTCTGCGTGAGCAGACGTCTGGCAGGGCAGCCCCTGAGAGCAAGACTCTGTGAAGTGTGCGGGACCCAACGGCATGTGTCACTGTCTGTGCAGGGGGACAGGTGACCCTGGTCTGTACAAAAATATACTTAGGATAGCCCTGTAGGAAGGCGCCTGCTGCAGTAGGTGGATTTGATTTCTTGCCTGCAGAAGAATCTCTAAAATATTTTTTTGAATGTTGAAAGATTGGAGGCTTGCACTTTGTTTTAAGAGCGCTTGCTATATTGGCAGGCTCTGCTCCCAAATTCAAGCGGCATAAAAGATGTGAATGACCTTGACTTGTTTAGGAGCTGAGCTACTATCTTTTGATCAGTGGTAATGCTTAAATTGGAGCAGGCCCTTGCTTAACTCTGCTTGCCAGTCTCCCAACTCTTTAGAGTAAAGAATTTATGACCATGCAAATGACTTAATGAAATATGATGGGGCTATTTGAGATAGTAAATTTTGCTTTTCCTAGCAAGTGACTTGAAGGTCACACTGGAATTGGTATGGATTCCCTTCCCCAGCCCTGGCTCAGATTTGGTCATGGAATAAGTTCATCCGATGAATAAAACTTAATTGACAAGTTTTCTGAAAAACAACTTCACTCTGTTGCACAACATGAGTAGTCAAATGTAGAGAAGTAGGTTGCTGTGCAGTCAGAAGCCAGCAGAACTGCTTTGATGGATCTTGGTAATTAGTATTTACTGCAAGTCAATTATGTCACAGGTATTTTAATTAATGGGTGACTGGGAAAAATACAACCACCTGATGAGAAACCTTCAGAAGTGATTTATTTTTATTATTTTCAAGAACAGGTATCTCTGTCGAGCCTTCCAGTTTAATGGAGTTTATGGAGTGAAATGAATCATTTCAGCCTATTTTTGGCCAGAAGTCTTTTGAGGCCAACTCGATGGCCCAGCTGAGAAGTAATAGCCTCTTGAAATGGGCAAGGAGATAATAAGCCCCTGGGGTTTGGCTTGCTAGTGCCTCTGTTCACCCGCTCTGTGGCCCACACTTGAGGGGGGAGGGCTTGTGCAAACCTCTCGGAAGCCTCTCCCGTGAGTTGGGGAAACTCGGGAACCCTCCTGGTCCCGCATGTAGTCAGGGAGTGTGGTTGGTTACTGGGTGCTCTCCAGGATGCTTCTCAGGTTTCTCCTGGCTTTTTGTAGCACTGTCCTCAATTCCATGATCTTGCCAACTACTATTCCTACCATGCCACATCAGTTTTAGCTAGATTTGCTTATAGGGTAGAGAGATATTAGGGAAGGATAATAATTGTATTTCATTATTCAACTGCCGCTTACTTTGACTTTTACACTTTTCCTGGCAGAGTTTTGTTGCCAGTTCTGCTGATGCTTCGGGGGAGGGGGATGCTTTTTCTCCTTTCTCTGCCATTTCTACTGCTGGTCTCCTGCCTGTCCATGCCCACTTGCAGGATGGTGTGATGAGTGGCTTCTGTAAGTCTGGTTTTAAGTGGATTCATTTAAGTTGGGTTGCTGCTGTATGTCTGCCTTTGTGATCTCCTAGAGAGACTGTCCCTGCCCACGCGTGCAATGCTAGCTTCCAAGGAAAGCTGAGCTGGCAACAAATACTACCTTTGAGTGAGAGTGTAGATTTTCAACAAAATATTTTCGAGTACTCAGGTTTCTGTAGTAGAGGCAAGCTCCATTTTTACAATGAAATGCATTGTTGAATATTGCAAGTCTGTTTTTGCAGCAAAACAGTAGCAAGTACGCAGAGGCTGGTTATGAGTGTCAGGAACCCCTGCACGTGTTTTGAAGTGTGTACGATGAATTTCTTTTGTTGCATTGCAGAAGTAAAACTGTTCCTGAAGTTGTACTTTAGTACTGACTTGTAGCATTTGTAAGGGGAGCCTGTGTGCTTCAGGAGTGTTCAGACTGGGTCTCAGCCAAGGCGTACCTTGAGAAGTGTGCTGTGTCCAGCCTGAGCAAGGAGAGTGTGGGTCAGAGGCAGATGTACAGCTGGCTGGAGCGGAGCTGGCATAAACTGCAGAGCACAGCGGGGTTTCACTCCGATCTGGTCACGAGTGGCTTTCCCTCTGAAGAGGGTTGATGTTAAATACTTTCTGCAGCTGGTAGGTGTGTTGGCTAGAAAGCTGAAGTGTCTCTGTAACTAGCCGGGACTTCACTGGTTTCGGCAAGAGTTATCTTTGGTGAGGCTTGTTAGACCAAAGACAAATTTGCTGTGAAAAACCAGAGGGAAGGAGGGATGGCATATGGCCATGAACCTGCACCTCTCACTGTTGAGGTAATATGGTATGAGAGAGGCTTGGTATTTGACTGAAGGAAAAGGTTGAAAAAGTTTTATTTTGATTTTGAAAAAGATTTCAAAACCTTTACACTTTTCACAAAACAGTTCTGATTTTCCAGCCAGCCCCGTCAGCTGTCTTCTAAATAGAGGAAAGTTTGTAATTTTAAAGCCTTTCACTTGGAGACAGCCCAGGTAAGGGCTGGTGTGTCAGTGGCGTGCTGGAGTCCCTTCCCATGTAGCTTCAGCGGTGACCCCGTCTGGTGTTTGAATCTGTAAAACACGCTGGTACCCATGTCGTTCCCCATCTCCATCCTCTGCATTGCTTGCGGTAAGCGCGTGAGAAGCCCCTGTCTGGGTTGCACTCCCTGTGTGAATAACCACTTTGTTCTTCGCTTCGTCCCTTACAGATCACTTGGTGGCCCACGGACGTATGGCTGAGAAGGAAGCCCGGAGAAAGTTCAAGCAAATAGTGGCTGCTGTCAACTTTTGTCACTGTCGTAATATAGTTCACAGAGATCTGAAGGCAGAAAATCTACTTCTGGATGCTAACCTTAACATCAAAATAGCAGGTGAGCTAAGACTAGCAGTGTGGGAGGAAGGCAGCTGCTTTCAGAAGTTAATAAATGTAGGCATTGGCTGCTTCCAGGTATTCAGAAAGAAGGAAACGCAGTGCAGCTAAAGGAAGCTTTGGATTTCGGTGTGGCCTGCTGCCCAGAGCTGAAACTGCCAGGTTGTAGCCGGGAGATTTATATCTCCCTTCAAGTAGCGCAAAGTAAAAGACGACAGAAAAAAAATCAGGTTTGACTTCGTAGGCAGATATGCGGCTGTAGATACTGCGGTGTTCCAATACGCTGGATAGTGGGTGAGACTAATATTAAAAAATTGACCTTGCTTTGAGTCCTGCTGCTGGTTTAGGACTTCTTCGAAGCAGTTCAGACTGGGTGAGAGAGAAAGAATGGAAAAGGAGGGATGACAACATTTATGGTAGAGCAGTGAAGGGGAAACAGCACTCTTGGAATCATTTTACTATGCTGTCTCACAGAGCGAGAGAAGTAGCCCCAGTGCTTTGGGTATTTTAGTCATTGCAGGGTGAGAAGCTGAAGTTACTAAATAAACAGGCCCTTACAGTCTGTTCCGAGTGTTTTGCTGGGCAGTGGGGTTTTTTGCTAATAACTGCCCTTCCAGAGAGCTTGCACCTCGGATGGTTTCTAGACTGACCTAACACAGGCCTGCATGTCTGTGATCCTCTTGTACATGAGATTGAGCCTTGGCTGCTGAGCTCTGTAATGCACTGACTAGACTTGACTTTAGCTTTGTGGGATTATGTAGCAACCGATTGAAACAAGAGGATTTAATACCACCCTGCTCATCTCATTTCATGGGCTTTTGAATTGGAAGAGCTCATACTTACTGTTTAATTCTACTAGAGCCTAATGCATAGCAGAGCATTTTTGGAAAGCACTTTGTTGCCCCTTCTCTTAATATGCTTCCTTGGAGAGCTTGTTGGCTTTTACAAGGGTTTGTAACTTGATTTAAAAAAAAAAAAAAAAAAGTGCTTAGGGCTACAAAACTTTTCAGTCTGTGAGCAATTTTAATGCTGGGAGTTGGGGAATACTCTTCTAGCTTGATACCATCTTGGAGAGAGGAATCAGTCTTATTCCTCGTGTTACTGTTCTCTTATGTACCATCCGTAGGTGTTAGATTAGAGTTTAATATTTGATTTGTAGTAAAATGATTAGTAATTTCTTCGGTTTCTCTCATCCTCACTTTGTGAGGAGGGAATGGAGAAGGAATAGAAAGGAGTGAAGGACTTCATGAAACTTCCTCTGGACACTTAATGGTATGAACCCTGTACTCCTTGGCACAAGGATGATAACCTGCTCTTTGCTGTTCTGGGAGCAGAAGATGAGCAAGAGACATGTTGCTGATGAAGTATAAGTGGTTTGTAGTGTTTCCTATGTGTTAAGCTAATCTGTGCTGCCTTGCACTGTGCAGTGGTTTGTGGCCAACTGAAAGCCTGCTAGCTCACTCTTCCCAGGACTGCGCTGTGTGCAGTCACCGAGAGAAACATACTGACAATGTGGGGAAAATTACTTGGTTTTGCCAGTCAGAATCATTTCCTGCTGAAGGAGGGCAGCAGCAAGCGCCTGTTGGTAGCTGCTGCAGTGGGCAGTGGAAGGAGTTGGTGGCAGGTAATGGAGCTCCAACAAGAAAGGCTGTTCAGGAGGTCTTTATGAGCAGCACTTTCTGGTATCTGTTTTATGCGAACAGATGCACTAATGATTTGAGGCCATCTTGTGTTCATGGGGTAAAATCTAATCTGTGTGTAGGGGGGGAGGGTGCCTAGCAAATAAAAAGAAAGAAAGAAGTTAAAAACTAACCCAGGTAGAAACTGGAATACAGCTGGATTTCCTGCAGAAATGTCCACATGAGCATGCTGACAAGCTCTGTGAATGTCTGAAAATTGTGGAAACTTTTTTTTTTTAATCTAAGGGAGTTGGAAACTATTTTCCTTCCAAATCTCAGCTCCCAGAATGGACTCTAGAAGATAGTTCCCACCCTGATGGTGGTAGTGTTTTACGTGGCAGGAAGATGTGGTAGTGATTTGAAAAGTAGCCTGGAAAAGCTGATTTATGGTATAGGATTTTCCAAGTATTAAGTTTTGTCCCTATAACTCATCAATTACAACTTGACACTGGTTCTTCCATTGTTTCAAGAGCAAAAAAAGAAGTGATAGCAACCGATCTCTTTCACCCCAGACCTCCCAGAATAAACACTACAGAAATGCACAAAGCACTGTTACACAGGGTGGAGGATCTGTTAAACCTTCACTGCCAAACCCGTTAACTGTGTCTAACTCAAACCTTTTCAAGAATCCATTTAATGTTCAGCTGATGGAAGCTAGACATATAATCTCAAGTGTCTTCTGAAGGCTCTGCTTGGTAGGTCTGGTCACTTTTTATCTGCCAAGTAGCAGCATCACAGACAGCCTGAAGGATGGATGCAGTAAGCCAGTGTGTCATCTCTGACACTCAGAGCTGAGACTGGGACTAGAGCTTTGTGGTTCTTCTGGTACCCATATGCGCAGCCTTTAGTAATGTGCATAATTCCATCAGCTTTTGGAGTTTTGCAGACTCTCACCGGTGCAGATTTTCTAGCACATTTCTACTGACCTCCATTTGCAGCTTTGCATCCCTTGCTTGGCATTAGTTAAGTAATTGACACAGCAAGATAGTGTAGCAGTCTCAAAATCGGTTAATGCTGTTATTCTCACTCAATGGTGACTACAAGTGTGCTTTTGGGGTTTGGGTTCAGGGTTTGGTTTTTTTTTTTTTGATTGATTGCAACTATACTATTTTTCCGTAAACAGTAAGATAGATACAAACGCTCTTACCTTCGTGCTCATTTTTCCCATGGATGCCTTTTCTCCAGCATACCTTCTCAAAGTCTGAGTCAGTAGCTTCTGGCACTATGTTCACTTGTGCTCCCAGTCAGAGGGTTCAGCCAGGAGTTGAGATTATTGCTAAATACCCAGGCCTTCCTGGGGTATGGTTTCAGAGAGGAATCTGATCTATGCATTGCTTTGCATTCGTTTGCAAGAGACTGCTTGCTCTTTCACCTTCTGAGGATAAAAGTTCCTGTTGTGCAGATACTAAAGGCTCTTGCTCTGAGGAAATGTGAGGGACTGGGCCCACCTTTTTATAGCACAGAGATGTTTCTTTTAAATATTTTCCCTATATCACATCATTGTGACTTTTACCTTGCTCTTTTTAAAAATGCTCCTCTTCCCTCTGCATCTGTTTGTGGAATGAGACCTGGTTGCTCCCTGGGGATTTGGATTTGTATGTCTGGGGTGAACTGGGGTGACTTGTCATAGTTTTTAAGAAAGTTTAAGTTGTAGTTTGGTTTTTTTGGTTTGGTTTAGATTTTGTTTTGTTGTTTTTTGTTGCTTTGGGGTTTTCAAATCCGCCACTGAACTTTCAGGGGGGCTTTTAAAAAGCCTGCTGTTTTCACCAGCCTTGACCTCAGTTGATGCAGCACAGGTGGGTTCTGGAAGCTGTTTCCAGCCTTTGAGCAGTGCTTCGCGTAAGATGGAGCCATCTGGCTCCAGCTCCCCACAGAGACGAGCAGCGTGACTCACCCGGAGCCCGGAAAGCACTGGGTAGAGCAGCAGCTCTCCACAGGGAGAGGTTTTTCATCCTGAAATCTTGGGCAGCCATGGGGTGAGTGCAGGAGCTCCAGGACCTGCTGGGTGGACACCAACATGCTGGCGGCAGCACCTCTGCCCTTCTAGCCTGGTCCTCTAAGGAGCGGCTCTGTGGGGCTGCTCTCTCTGCCCACCTCCGCTCCGCTGTCAAAAAGAGCTGTGAACCCATGGGCTAATTTCAACCTGATGTGGAAGAAGGGTAAAGTTTCAAAGATGGCCAATCTCCTGCAGCTCTTACAAAGCAGAGAAGGTTGCGGGAGGCAGCTGTTGCATGTCTGTTCAGAGGCAGCGGTGGCTGCCAGCTGGCATGGCAAGGCACAGCTCTGCCCTCGCTGCAGAATGTGCTGCTGCTTGCTCGCCATGCTGCTATCAAATGGGGCTCGTCGGCATGACCGGTTAGCGGGCCAGTGCAACAGTGTGGGGAACACCTCGGTCCTCTGTCCTGTGCAGAGCTGGAGCTGGTGCCAGGCTGCACGAGGTGGCGTTCACTGCTTTGAAAATACGGTTGGTTCCCACAGTGCTGCAAAGCCCATTTGAGTACATACAAGGATAAATAAAAGTAACTAAACCAGAATAATTTGCTCAATATATGTGAAGTACCAAAATTCCAGCGTGTTCTTGCACAGTTGGAAAGAGTTTACATCTAAACTTGACTACAGATGCTTTGTTGTGAGGAGATGGAAATACATTTAGTGCTCTAGTTTTTATTGCTTGCTCTGATAGCTGTAATTCAGGCACTTGTTACACATCCTGCTTTAAACATGAGACAGAACAGCTCAAAAGCTTGCAGAAGTGGAAAAGACAATTGTGTGGCTGTGTACTATTTCCCTGAAATAGTCCTCCAAAGGCTGGCTGCTCCTGTGTTTTGGAAGTTTAGATGAGTTCATTTCCAACAGTAAAAACCCAAAGGGTGTTTAACTGCCTCATTTTGATACTGTGATGCTTTTAAAGAACATTTACCATCTCTGTGCTCTGTTTTGAGGTAGGGTTTGAGTAGCGTTGTCTGTACTCCAGGTATTTCCACAGGAACATGCCACACTAGGTATTCCTCGCAAGCATAAACCATCTCCACACGGAGAATTTTGCCCCCGCGAAGGGATGGGAGGAGGGGAAGTTGGCTGTACCCTCCTGGCGCTGAGCTAGCAGGAGTCGTGCCGACTGTGCCTGCTGTGCCGAGCTGTGCTAGGTGGTCTGCTGAGCTTTGCAGAAGCTGTTTGAAGGAGGAGAGGAAAGTCACCTGAAATTAGGTCATGGAAAATCCTGTAAGGAAAGCAGTGATGGTGAGCGGGAGCACAGACTCACCAGTTAGTGCATTGTCTGTGGAGTGCTTGTGGCGTTTTCTGTGCCTCCTGCACAGAGGTGTTGGCCATCACTGGCCTCGCTGATGGCTCGTTCTTGGAAGTTGGTGTGAAACTCTGGGCACTGGTGTTAACGGGCTTTTGTTTAGAAGATGACAACCGTTTTCCTTTCTGCAAGGCAATATCGAATGTGTTGGGGCAAACCTGTAGTTTTACATGATTTAGGAAAACAAATATTTCTTGATGGCTAAAGAAGATGGCATGCCAAAGTCCTTACCTTTTAAAGCATGGGTAAAAGACTGTAAGGAGAAATAAGCAGATAAAAATGAAGATGAGTTTTCAAGATGAATGTGTATTTATTTCAAGAAATGGGAAAAAAACTTTTGTGCTTTTGCATTTCAAGTATTCTTTACCATTTGTATACATGTAGTGAAGTATGCGTTTTCAGTCCAATTCTCCTGGCACGACATGGGGATCTTGTGTTTCACTGACAGGTAGGCAGTCAGCTGTGCATTATTCCAGATACGCTGCAGTTCTGACCACTGATGGAGTCAAAATTAATCTTAAGCTCTTTATAAGAGATTTTCACTTTCTGCAGCTGTACTGCATATTTTTGCCACGATGCTTTTTTGGTTTAATCAGTTAGAATTTGCAAACTGAGCTCTGGCCTCCTTGTTTTTTCCAGTGTTTCTCAACAAGCCTGCCGTGAGGATCTGCTGCTGGTGCAAATGCCATGAAAAATGTCCTTGTTGCTGTGGGTCCCCATCTGCATGCGTTAATGTCACTCACCCTCCTGCTGGCACACTTCTAGCAGAAACACAGGCAGAGCAGTTTGCAGATAACCTTTGTGGCACCGCTCCTTCTGATGGAGCTTGCTTCTAAGGGCACCTCGTTCACGGGACATGGAGACGCCTCTTTCTGACTGTATATTTGCTTTTATTCAATGGACACGAAAAAGAAGGAAATTGTTAGTGAAGCTTCTTTCTTTTTGTAAGAAAAAGCTCACTTCTCTTGAGTCCATTGGTTTCTCTACTTCATCCAGTGTGAGTCCCAGCTGTGTGCCAGAGGGTGGCAGGTTAATTAGCAGAGAATGCCATTAGTGCCCACGTAAGCTGATGGCTGACTGCCCGTAAGGTTAAGACCTTTCTTTTAATTTCTCTTTCAGGATTTATTATTTGCTGTTGGTGGATGATTTGACTGGGTTTGTAGAGCTGCCCACCATAACCAAAGTTTCCAGCTCACATAACACTTTCTGGAAAATCAAAGTTTCCCGTTCTTTTTCTCTTTGTCTGCATTTTGTCCTTGCTGCCGGCTGCCCTGGCCCTAATGAAGTTGAGAAACTTGACATTGGAGATGGAAATTAACACACAAGATTTATGTGGGATTTCTTGAATATAACGTGGAAGCCTCATTCCAAACCATCCACCTGACTTGCAGCAACCCTAGTTGATCTGATGGCTGGTGTATTGACTCCAGCATGGAAATCACATGGGCAAAAAGCAAAGAGGAAATTTTTGGGAAGATCTTTGTGTTCTGCTAAGCAAAAGCAGTATGGTTATAGTATGTGAAGCAGGCCTAAGTCTTGGTATTGCAGCAGGTTGTTTAAATGGGGTGTCGTTTATACTGTATGAAGTGGACATGCCGCTGATAATACTTGGTTTTCTTTTGTCTCAGTACGGAGAGAAGTTGCACATTGTCCAGGTGGATTCCGCATTGCTCTTACTGTTCTTGCCTCTTTTGCACTCTTGTTTCTCTGATGTCTGTGTATCAGTTATCCGTTCTGGGATTGTATGTGACTTTACTAGACTCAGCAAATTACTTATATCCCATTTGCTTAGGACAGGTGGAGTGGATTGTATTCCTTTAATCAGTTCTCTTTGTTCTTTCAGATTTTGGGTTCAGTAACATCTTCACACCTGGTCAACTGCTTAAAACCTGGTGTGGGAGTCCTCCCTATGCTGCTCCAGAGCTCTTTGAAGGAAAGGAATACGATGGGCCAAAGGTTGACATTTGGGTATGCAATGAACCTCCTTCTCTCTTTGATCTGATTTTTGCTCTGTTTGTTTGGCTTTGCTTCCTGAATACTTGGTATGTGTCTTGGAGAAAAGCCCCTGATATGGGAAACAATGTTTTTCAAAGAAACACTTACAAAATTTTGTTCTGGCTACTATGTCACATGTTTTCTTTATTGGGAGGCATGGTGCCAAAAATATTAGTTGCCCAGAAAAGCGTTTTTAATTTAGTTTCCCAAAAATACGGTTTGCTTCACCACTGTTGAATGGCAGAGTACTTGCTGCAGTAGGGCTTGATCTGGCAGAGCTGAAAGAGGAAAGGTCAAGTTTTGCTCTACAAGGTTTTTGCAGAGAGCACATTAGCACAGAGACTTGGGATGGTCTTCCTCTGTGGCACTAGCTGTGCAACGCAAAGCCTGCTTTGCCCTGCAGCCCTGCCTTTCAACACCAGCTCGGTTGCCTGCTGTCCTGCCTCTTCTTCTCGTGGGGCTCCCCAAGCTCTGTCAGGCAAGCCGGATGAGTGCAAGGGAAGGGTGGCATAGCTGGGTTTGAAACGGCCGCACCGTCCCAGCGGTGTTAGGTTGGCTGAAGCTGTTTGGTCTGGGCATGCAGGTTGGCCAGAGCCTCCTGCTGCAATGGTGTGGGGCTGCCTCAGGCAGGCTGGGGCTGTAGGCTTCTTTAACCATTGGCTTCTGAGGCTCCAAAGAAAGTCTAAATTAGGCTTGAAGTTTGCAGGAGGAATTAAGCTGGCCTGGGATGTCAGCAAGGCCCACTCCAATGGGATTTGGTTTTTCTTCTTTATTATTATTTTATTTTATTTAAACATTTACTGCAATTAACTGCAGTCTCCCAGTCTCTCCCTCTAACGTTGCTGACACAACCTTTGTTTTGGATGCAGAGTCTTGGCGTGGTGCTGTACGTGCTGGTCTGCGGTGCTCTGCCCTTCGACGGGAGCACGCTGCAGAACCTGCGGGCGAGGGTGCTCAGTGGGAAATTTCGCATTCCATTTTTCATGTCCACAGGTAAGGGGTGCACGCACCCCAGCATGCCTGCAGCGCTGAGCAGGCGCTGGTTGCGTCTCTGCTTACAGATTCTTTGGAGCACTTACATTATAGTATACCAGCTGATTAATGTGCCAATCAAGTGGTATGCCAGGAAGCTTATCCACTGGATGGTGGTTTGTAACGTAAGCTAAAATGAGTTCTGAGTCTGGAATTTAGAAACCAAAATACCCTTATTTAAAATCTCAGCTTTCATGTATGTAACTATGCAAACTATAGCAAAACATCAGCAAAGATACACTCCTTCTAAATTTTGGGAAATGTGAAAGCTAAAAATGGAAGAGTGATTTAGGAATATAGAGACTCTCACTGTACCTGTTTTAGACAAGAAGCTTTTCACAGCATTATAGCACGTGAATTTCCAGCAATACCCCCATCAGAGATGAATGTCTGTGTCCTGTTTCTGCAAAAATGCTTCTGAATGCTTTAGTAATAAATCTTGTTTTGGAAAAGTATGATTAATTCTCAGGTAAAAACAACTTCATTTCATAACAAGTCACATGTAGGTTCTTGGTTGCCTGCTGTCAGATTAAGGAGTAATTTTGCATGGGCTGCGTGGAGTTTCCCACCTGTAAGCTTCCTTGCCTGCCGCCTTACTTGTGGAAGAGGCTCTCTTCACGCAGAAAATGCTTGCTAAAATGTGGTGCTTTTAAAGCAAGCTTAGATCTAACCCACCCCAAATGGAGGAGAGCCTCAGCAGTCCCCCACAGTGACAGCACATGCATAATACAGTGGAGAAATCATTCACAGTGAGCTGTTCCCGAGTGGGGAATGGTCAGGGGATACTTTGTCCTTCAACCCCCCAAAGCCAGTCGTGTCCCCCAGCCAGTGCCGGCAAGGCGGGGAGGGATGGGGTGACAGCGTGCCACCTAGGGGCTCCGGCAAATAGCACAGGGGCCCGGTGGCCTGGGTGGCTTGCTTCCTTCCTAGCCTGGGGAAATCGAATGTCTTCAGCAAAGCGGCACGTGTGCGAAGTGCAAAAGGAGAAGCAGTATTTTTGCTGTGTATGATTTCCTGCGGAGAAGCGCATTGCTTTGAAAGAAAAAAGCGCTTTCGCCCTTGCAGCGTGAGGCTGCCTCCTGCAGAAGTCGTGTCCCTCCCTGCGGGTTACCCAGCCTCTCTCTTCCCCTGCAGAATGTGAACATCTGATCCGCCACATGCTGGTCTTGGACCCAAGCAAGCGGCTCTCCATGGAGCAGATCTGCAAACACAAGTGGATGAAGATTGGGGAGGCCGATGCAGAGTTTGACAGGGTGAGAAGCAGAAGCGAGCTGGTGTGCGAGTGGGGTCTGCTCAGTGCCTGCTGGGCTGCAGATGGGCTCCAGGCACATAGTGCTGCAATGTTCCTTTCGGCTGTTTGAGACCTCTCATTGGAAGTGCTGGTGCGCTGCCTTTCCGCTTTCTGTCTCCTGGTCTTGCTTTCCACATCGCTCCTCATCTGCATATATTTTTGTATCTTTCCCTTTGGCACTGAGAGCCAAAGGGACTAGATTTTGATTTGGTGTGCCATCAGCCTTCAAAGCTCATGCCAGCTTGCAGCCAGAGCCTGGTGCATTGGTTCCTCAGAGCGCTGTGACTCATCGGTGTGTCTTTGGGAATGTCAGCACTCAAGTCTGTGTCTGTGCTCTTACAGCTGATAGCGGAGTGTCAGCACCTGAAGACCGAGAGGCAGATGGAGCCGCTGAATGAGGACGTGCTGCTAGCAATGGCAGACATGGGGCTGGACAAGGAGCGCACAATTCAGGTGAGACACCACAGCTGACAGTCGTGTCCTGCCTGTTCCCATTGGAGATCAAATGGCCATGTTTGTTGCTTATCACCTCTGGTAACTGAGCACCCTCAGCACGGTATGGAGCATATTGTGTTGTTTGACAAAAGGCACTGACCGCTTTTTCCTTTTCCTCTTTTAGTCATTAAGAGCCGATGCTTATGATCACTACAGTGCAATCTACAGCCTGCTCTGCGACCGCCTGAAGAGACACAAGAATCTGCGCATTGCAGCATCTCCAAGTATACCACGGACCATGACCTTCCCCACCTCTGCTAACATCCAGGTAGATCCTGCTTGCGTAATGTTCTTCCAGCCCTGGAAGGCCAGCCAGTCCCTTACCTGCCAAACTCAGACTTGCTTGTGGGTGTCCTCATCCTGGCAGGAGTGTCAAAATGTTCCTCGTCCAAGAACTTTGTGTGTATTTAGGGTGCCATAATCCTGAGATTAGGAACAGTTTGTTCATTGGTTGTGGGTTTAGTGGATCCCTTTCAGACAAAGTCTTGTGTTAGCTTAGCGACAGAGGAAAAGGCAATGTGAGGGTTACTGTTTGGGAGGCAGAGTTTACAGACCAGGGCTCTGGTGCGATGCTTCTTCCTCAATTTGTGCTGCTGTCCAAGAAATAAATATTTGCTTTAAGAGAGGCCAGGTCATAAGGGAAGCAGAAGAGATGCTGACCCTGCCTGAACAGAAGGGAGGAGGGGAAATGAGGCAACCCCTTGAGAATTAGGAATAAACTGATCTTCACTGGCTCCAGGGTAACCTCTGTATTCCCAAGTGCTTAGGTCTGTGCACTGGTGTTAATCCAGCGGTGTTTGTAAAGGGGTTGTACGAGATGCTAGCTTCATGCCTTCTGATTTTGATCTTACTGCTCTTGCAGACAGAACAGACAGGCAATACCATGAGCATCAATGTGCCACAAGTCCAGCTCATCAACCCCGAAAACCAAATTGTGGAGGTGAGGTACACCCCTTGATGGCCCCTGCAAGTTCTTTTCCCAGGCTTGCACCAAAGCCTTTTGCTTGACCCTCACTTGTGTTTCAACATCTCCAATGTTTTGCCTGCCCAGACTGACGGAACAATGAACTTGGACAGTGATGAAGGGGAAGAGCCGTCACCTGAAGCTCTGGTCCGTTACCTCTCCATGAGAAGGCACACGGTTGGAGTAGCTGACCCACGGTTAGTATTGGACCCTAACTCCCTGAGGGAGGATTAAGGGAACCTGAAGATTTACTCCTAGCACGTGACTTTGGTCCTTCTGAGATGTCACAGATTTATTCACGTGCTACATTGGCAGATGAGAGGCTAATGTCTGAAAGGGACTTCTGGGCTCTGTGGTATATAAGACTTGATACATTTTGGACTGGCAATGGTCTCCAGTTTCTGGGCTGGCAAATATGCTTCACAGCGTGCCCCTCAGTCCCAGGTCTCTGCTTCACTTTAGGCAGACCAGGTGGTGATGAGTGCATGTATCTATCATAGCTGGTATCAAACCTTTGGTTTCCCGCTCCTGCTGTGAGTGGCTTGGAGTTATTTCTGCAAACTTGATTTTTGCCAGATGGAGAAAGAAATTCAAGGTGTCTCTTTAGCCAAAAGTGTTCTTTTAAATGTCCTAGTTCTGTTGCACAGCTTGGTTAGTATTTCAGCTGAGGATGAGATGCTTTCCTCTTCTTCCTCATCAGCTCTGTGTAAGCTCTAGTGGTGTTCACTGGTGTGCAAGCCAGTTTCTCACCTAGGGTGCACTGCTCTCATGTCCTAGGTAAAGTTTTCGTGATAAATGCGACTTGAGGGTAATGCAAAGAGCTAGTTCTGGCAAATCTCAACTTGGAGGGGAAGAAGGAACAAGTAAAAACCAAAGGGTGGCTTGGCTACTCTCCGTGACCATTTTCTGGAGCAGTAAGAAGCCTTTTTGTGAAGGGAAACAGAGTGTACTGGGCCTATGGGTGGTGCTCTCCACATCATTGCTAATTTGCCTGTCTGTAAATGTGATTGCACAGGACGGAAGTCATGGAAGATCTGCAGAAGCTCCTGCCTGGCTTCCCCCGTGTCACTCCTCAGGCTCCGTTCCTGCAGGTGACTCCGAATGTGAACTTCATGCACAATGTGCTGCCTAGGCAGAACCTGCAGCCCACGGGTCAGCTGGAGTACAAGGTACTGACTGATGCGTGCGCTCCCTTCTGCAGTCTGTGCCCCACCAGCATGTGGGGGTGTGTTTGTGCTCGCACTTGCTCTCTCTGTCTGCCAGTTCCTTGGACTCCAAGCTTCAAGGTTTATCCTCTTGCTGTCTCTTTAGGTATCATTCTAGTTGGTTACTCAAAAAGCCAAAGAATGAAAGAACACTGCAATATGAAATTAATTAATGGGCTGAGGAGAAACAGGACTGTGCTGCCTGGCTTTGGAGCTGCAGGTTGCAGCCTGCCTGGCAACTAAAGCAGAGTGCAGGGAAATGGAGAGTTAAACACCACTTTTCCACTGACACTGCCTCTCTGCCCCACGTCAGCTCTGAGATGTTGGTGATACTCCTTCATCTCTCCTGAAGCCCAGAAGGCTTGTTTTCTCTCATGCCAGTGTTTGGGTTTGTGACCTTGGGGCTCAGGTATCGGAAGGATCTGGTATGGGGTCGATAACTGCACTGTCTGTGCTTCCCAGGAGCAGTCCCTGCTGCAGCCCCCCACCCTGCAGCTGCTGAATGGCATGGGCCCTCTGGGGCGGAGGGCATCAGATGGCGGAGCTAACATCCAGTTACACGCACAGCAACTGCTGAAACGTCCTCGAGGTCCATCTCCGCTCGTCACTATGACGCCAGTAAGTAGCAAAAGGAAAGAAGAGAATTGGTGGCATGCTTATAAATATCTCCTCCCACAGGCAGAGGGGACTGCCTCCAGGTCACAGCAGACAGAGTAGTAGCTCAGTCTGTAGTGCTCTGGAAGCACTGCAGGGAGTGTGCCTGCATGCTTCCAAAGGTTGCCCCTCTCTGGAGCGGCGGGGTGCTCTGTCCCCTTGTGGGAGAGTTGCTGTTCTCTCCTGTAGCTAGCAGCTGAGATGGTATTCCTCTCTAGAATTGACAAAGTATTTGTGAACTTTTTTTAACGGTTGCTTTTCTTGTCTTTTGCTGGTCTAATAGAGAAAATGAAAATGTCCATCTTGGGCGTTAATGCACGTTCTTTCTTGATGCATCTGTAGCACCTGGTAGCACCAAAGGAAGCAGCAACCTTGTACAAGCAGTTTTGATTGGGGAAGGAATGTTGGAAGGGGTTCTTGGCTGGGTGGCCTTGGTGCTGCAGAGGAGCTGACATACATCCTTGTGAAAGCTTATTTGGGAAGGTCAGGTGTCCGCTGTGCGGATGGGACCACGCCGACTGCTTTCTGGAACCCATGGCTTCTCTTCTCTCTGCAGGCTGTCCCAGCTGTCACCCCAGTGGATGAGGAGAGCTCCGATGGGGAGCCAGATCAGGAAGCTGTGCAGAGGTAACTCCCAGTCTGTTAACATTTGCCCTTACTACCTCCAAGAGGCTCACCCTGTGGGGTTCCACAGCTGAATTAAAACATGAGCAACCTCATCACAGGCAACAATGTTGATTACAGCGAAGGCTCAACGTTTCTCTTGTTCTTGTGGGTGTTGATTACTGTAGGCAATTACTCCTCTGACACTACTAGGTGCTTACAAAGCTGGATTCCCCCTGAAATGGTTAGCTAATTGAGCAGTAGGTTCTCCAGAAACTCTGAAACTGCTAAATTCCTTTGCTTAAGTGTGCACCAGCATGCAATCCACACTAACCTGCAAAATGAGTGCTAAGTGATTCACCCCTCCCTGCTGAGTGATGGAGGTATGAAGATCTCATCTGTGGCCTTGGGTGTCAATGCAGCTTTTGTATCAAGACATGCAGTAAACATCCAACTCTGATGCCTTAAACAAAGTGAGCTTGCTGGAAATGCGGGTACCTCTAGCTTCTAATTTTAACAGTAGGCCTTAAAATCATCTAATCCAATAAGGAAAGGATTGTTAGATACCAGGCTGGAAACTGCTGTTCTTTTTGTCTGCTCCAAACACATACTAGGAAGCGGGTAGAAGATGCTTGTAATTTTCTAAATCCATGAAAACACTAACCATGTCCTTGCTAACATTTTCTTAGTAGCTTTTGCATAGTTTCTTCTCTGCTAACCAGCTGGTGCACTACATGTGGTGGATGTGGTTACGGAGTGCTCCTATTCTTACCTCAAACTTGAAAAGTTTTCTGGATACCCCACCCCCCCCACCCCAGTTTGTACAGGCCACCACCTCGAGTAAGGCAGCATTTCCTCAGGGGCTGCGCTCTGGACAAGGATTCAAATTGGAGGTTGGTTGCAAGCAGAGAAACGGTGGGGGGGTGGAGGTCATACCCCAGAGCCTCTGCCAGCTCTTCTCTCAGTGCTCCAGAGCAAAGGGGGGATTTGAACGGTGGGTGTGTGCAGTGACAGATTGTGCAGAGTGTGCGCTGAGACTCCTTTTGCCTACCTGAGCTTAGAAAAAAGTCAAAGCTGGTACATGTGAAAGAACTCGCTTCCAGCCCTACCTTAGAGTTAACACAGAGCACATCTTGCTTTCTGCGTAGCCTTAGACTCTAGTTCTTCACCACCCTCATCTTTGTGCTCACTCTCACAGTATTTTCCAGCTTCGTGAGCTGCTGTTCATCCACTGAGCCACGATACTGGGAAGGTACATGCTCATGACCTGCCCCAGCTGCAAGGCAGCACAATGAAAGAACAGATGCCAAGTCATAGTACTGAGCAGATGAAGAGCATGCACCTCCAGGCACTGTAGGCTGCGTTCAGCCCCTGTTAAGCTGCTGTACCCTAACTGCACACTGTCTTCCCTAGCAGGGCTCAGGAACACAGGCTCTATACGCAGCTGTACACAGATGTGCTGCCTAGATAGCTATTAAAAGTTGTAATTAAGGGCCCATAATGTCCACTGACAACGCCTCAGGTGGTAGACAGTCTTTCTGACTGTGCAAATTGGATAAATCTGACTCTTGGCAAGGGGATGCCTGAACATCTTACCAGGGCAGATTTTCACCTCTCCTATTCTAAACCCTAAGGTTTTAGCTGAGTCTCTAAATTAAAGCAGTAGCTCAGCTGGAAACATTTTGAAACCCACATGCAGTATTTTGTAGGTTGCAAGCCACTGAAATCTTCAGATCCCACTGAAAGGCAAGTCTCCTTGGACCCATAGGTCACTTTGCTGCTCTCAACAGTGCTGCCCTTAGTCCTTTCATACCACATGTTCTTCTTCCACCAGATGGCCCAGAAGAAGCCCTGTCCAGGTTGTGTATTAACTTGCTCTCCACCCCCTTATGTTGCAACATGTCAGTAGTCATCAGAGGAGAAGGGTAAATAGCATTAACATCAGGGACAGATGCAAATATTTAGCTTCTCAGAACACTGCTCTGAACACTCTGTATGCAGCCACCAGTGAGCAGTTTTTGCCCTCCTTAATCTGACCTTGAAAACAGAGCATAGTCTTTTCTCTGTTCCAGAGAACGGTCACATCTCCTTTGAGCTTTGGGAAACTTTCTTCCACCCGAAACACTGTTACAGCTCATGATTGGATTGTTCCCTGGAGGTCTGAAATAAAATGATCTTAGCAAACCACAACTGTAAAGCTCTTTGGGAAACTTTCCCCGTCTCCATCAAATGATTCTTAAACAGCTAATGGCACAGACTTTGGCAAGTTACCACAATGCTAAGCACTCTTCATTCTGTTAACTTGCTGTCTTCTGCTTAAGTGGCTTCAGTAGCTAGCAAAGAAAGGCTGGCTTTGGAGAAGGCAGCAACTTTATTGCCTGCTGCTCCTGTGCTTCACCAGTGGAAATTGCAGGGAGCCTTAGCAGGGGAAAAGAGTGAAGGTGAGAATTCCCTGTTAGTATCCGCGGTGTTGCCGACCAAGATACCATAGCTGCCTCATTGCTGCTGGTTCACAAGAGCAGAAATAGTTGAGTTCATAAGCGGGCATCCATCCCACCTGGCCTTGAGTGGGTAAAGTGCTAGGGCCTGTGCTCATCACAAGCTAGGGTGTCCTGGGTAGGCGCTTTGTTCGTTATCTCTTCTGGCCCAGTGCCCCCAGCTGCTCTGAGCATCACTGCAGCCAGAAACTAGCAGTTCAGAGCTGCGCAGCCCTTTGTCACATCCTTGCCAAAGCAGAGGCTCCTAGTTTTGCCCTGCGCGCTCCCCCAGTCTTTAGCAGGTTTGCAAAAGAACTGCAGTCTCTCATTTCCAGTTCAGAGGGTGCTTTAGTTTAACCTGCTGCCCCCCAGGCTCTGATGTGAGAGGTGAGCCCAGCCTTAGCGCTGGTGGCTCCGGCTCCATTGGAAGGGACCCTCTCGCTTCTCAGTTTCCTTCGGTGGTTTTGCCCTGTGCATCGCCGGGCGATTCCTGACTCCCTGGAGTGTGGAGCAGGGACTAGATGGCGCACACGGCCCGGGCTGGGCACCAGCCCTTCCTTAGCCGAACCCATTCTCCTCACGCTCCTCCTGCAGCCGGAGGCTCTAGCCACCCGTAATCTCTGGCAGGTTGACCCTTGTGCGCCCTTCCCCTGCTGTGGCAAGCCGGCCACTGCTCAAGGCTCGGCCCGGGGCAGGACTGAAGTGCAAAGGCCATCCTGCAAGGGTGCAGCTGAGCAGCAGCTCTGCTCTGCGCCCGTTCTCTGGCCAGCTCTCGCTAGAATTATCTGTGACTCGTCTCTTGGCTCTGTGCATGCAGCAGACTTCCCCATGGCTCAGTGGGGCCTTGGGAGAGGAAGGCAGACCTGCTGTAGCGGAGCGACTCCACGTTGAGGGCAGGTAGTCACCCGGGTATTCCCAAAGGGGTATACCGGCCTTCCCCTTGAGATGAAATGTGGCTTTCCTGCTGGGAAGAGCAAACGGCTACTCGTTCCTTCTGAGGCTTGCAGTAGCACACAAGCAGCTGAAACTACACTTGTCCCCTAAGCACTGAAGACCCAGTGACGTGACGGGCATAGGCAGCGTGTCCCTGGTGTGCTTCTCCCCAGTTGGTTCTGAGCACTGCAGCAAGCATTCTTCCTTCCCATTTACTCTGGATTATCTAACGCTCCCTGTTTTTGGAGTACTCCCATCAGTCTCTTATAAAATGTGCTCCTGCTTGTTGCAGATACTTGGCAAATAGGTCAAAAAGGCACACTCTGGCAATGACCAACCCTACAGCTGAAATCCCTCCAGACTTGCAGAGGCAGCTAGGACAGCAGTCCTTCCGACCCCGGGCTTGGGCTCCACACCTGGTACCCGATCAGCACCGGTGAGTAATGGCACCGGCCGTTCGGGCAGCTTTGCGCCAGGAAACCTGCTCACATGTCATCTGGAATGGAGCACTGAGGACGTCCCGCTTGGCAGGGAGGGGTGAGGAGGAGGAACAACTCCAAAGAGCAGACCCACAGAGCAGAGGGTGTCTTGACCACACTGGGGATGCTGGAGTTCAGCGCTGTCACGGGCTCTGTGCCTGCAAATACAGGCAACACAGGGGCAGGAACCAGCTGGCTCTTCCCCTCCAGTCCTGTTTTTGGGGCTGGACATGATTTGCCAGAATGGCTGCCATCACGTAAGGGTTGGGAATAAGCTATTCATTTTAGAGGAAAGCTTTTCTCTGTTGTAATGGTAGGTGTCGAGCTAGCAGTAGATAGCAGATTCTCTACAGAACATTTTTGGAGGCAGATGCAGGCAAAAGCTGCACCAAGAGTCATCTACAACCAGAGCTTAAAAACCTCACTGTTCTGCACCAGAGTTGTGTGTTTTGACTGCAAAGTCTCTTTGCAAAGCTCCTCAAGAGTCATTTTATTTCTGATCTGAACCCCTGCTGGGAATGATGTCGGGAGAGGAAGCTGGGGTGGGAAGAAAATCACAATGTCTGGGAAGGAGGGAACCAATGCAGATTTGGATCTAAACACACTCAAAATGTGTGGGTGGGGCACTCCAGATGGAGAGAGGTGTTAATTTGACACGCAGTCCTTGGTTAGCAGCAGCAAACTGGAGATGCTAATGCCACAGAGGGAGCTTAAAACCTGTGCTCTGAACCTCTCAGCGCTGAGAGCGCAAAGCACCTGCAAACTGCAGAGTTTGCTGCCTGTTGGTCTCGACTGTTGAGAAAGCAGTCACCTACCAGGCTAGGTTGGTGCTCCTGTTCAATCTTTCAGCCAGCTCATGCTGGCAAGCTTGACAAAGCGCTTTTTATTGTAGCCAGATACCTGCTGAGCTGAGCACTGATGTAATCAGTAGAGACAGGTGAACTCTGAGCAGACTGAGACAGTGCTAGTGCCACGCTGGAACTCCGGAAAACCAAGATAAGCACCTCTCTCCCCTGAAGTTACTCCCTCACAAAGGTGCTTGGGGGATGGGAAGAGCAGGAGGGGAAAGATTTCTAGGGTCACAGAAAAGCTTGATAGGAGGAGGAGTGCAGCTTGCAAAACAACCAGAATGTGCTGTGTCCTGCTTTAACGATTGCTTCAAATTGGAAAGGTAAGCCGGGTCACTCATGCACTGCAGGAATTGATTTTTTACAAGATTGTTAAAACACACTTGCCCTGTAAATATGTTGGTGTCACCTCTGCCTCTTGGCTTTGGAGTCCTGAGGCTGTTTTGTTGCATCACGGACAGGGTGGTATCTGCTCATTCCACCCTCAGTGTCGTAACGTGCTGTAATCCTGCCTCATGTTTTACCTGGGAAATCACAGACACTTCATCTGACCATGGCCTAAACAGATTGCCCCGTGTTGTGTCCAAGACACATATGGTACAGAAACCACTAGCTGTCTTGTGTCATCACCTAACCAGACCTCAGTTATTGAGTGGCAGGTGGGTTTTATTTTAGCAGCTAACGTATTTTAAGCCATCTTCTTATGTAGCACCCGGTTTTAGTCGTGATAACATAGTATCTGAAAGCAGAATTGAAGTACAGCAATTGTACAAGGCAGTACAGTTGTTCGGCCCTGGCCCCGTGGGTTTTGGAACCTCAGTGTAATTTTATCTGTGGCTTCTGCTTTCCATCAATACAACAGGAGATCAAGATAAGGATAATGCATGGGATGACAGCAAAAGGCAGGGGCACAGCTCTATCCTTGGAAGAAAGTTGTGTGTAAGCTATAGAAACTGAAGTATGTCCCGCTAAGGCAGACCAGGTGACACGAACTGAACCCAGCGTGCTGGAAATGGTCCAGCATCAGTCACCTTCTGACAAGGGGGAGCCTCTCCAGGAGAAATCGTATCACTTCGTGGAACGGGCTTCAGTAAAGACCTGCATTCAGAGTCGCCATGGCAGTAATTTGCCTGCAGTAATGTGGTTCAGGGCCACACCAGTGTGCAGCTAGATGGGCTCCTGTTGGGTTTAGTGCCAGGATGTCAGAGATGCTGTAAAGACCATGTCTCCATGGCCTTCTCACAGACAAAGGCTGCTGTTGGAGCCTGTACCGTTAAGTGTTGTTTGCTGGGTTTTATAGATTGCATTTGCACAGAAACCATTAGGGCAGGCAGAGAAACCTGATCCTATTTGTTTTAAGGCACCTTGCAACATGTGTATGGAAGGTTAGCTTTGCTCATGATGATGCAGGTTGCACCAAATGGCAGGGCAGGAGCTTAGCACTTTACTTTGATAATGGGGAGCCCCAACTTGGGGAGAAAAAAGCTCCTGAAAAAAATCTGGCTCCCTCTGATGGTGAAGAAGAAACCTCATTGTGAAGGGAAAGTGCTTGTAGTGCCTTGGACACAGTTGCCTTGATACTGCCTATGTCTGCTTTTCAAACGCACCAGTTCTGATTGCCCAGTGCCGAGCATCCAGGCAACTGGGAGACTCTGTATGTGAAGCAACAGCTTGGTTAATGCATTAGAAAGATACCCCCTACTGTGCAGAGTTACGTTCCTGCCCTCTCTTTTTAATTCAGTGCATCTCTAAGCATGGGTGCCAGCCCCCCTTCCTCCTCAGAGGCTGCAGAACATATCAGGCTCCTTTCTCCATGTGCCCCTCCTGTTTTCCACAAGCATCAGATGTAGTCAGGAGCCCTGGGGAGCTGGAAGGCTCAGAAAATGGCTACTGAAGAGGTGAATTTTAGATTTTTAGGATGCTGAATGGTTTCTGTAAACCTTTTCCCTCTAAGGGATAGATGCATCTGTATGGATGGACAATGATTTGCTGCCCACCTGGAATCTGGTTTGTGGCTGAGTAGTCTCCAACCTTAAAACACATTTATCTGCCCAGGCACCAAGGATACTTGGTAATCCTGTTTCCTGTTCACGGTGATGATGGCACTTTATTTCTTGATCTAAAGCATGGTGAGTGCTTTGGGTGAGTGGGCAGGTAGAACTTGGCATGGCTGGTGTAAATTAAATGTCTCTGTACTGGAGTTTGTTTTTTAGCTGGCATCACTAACCCACTTCCCCATGTGTTCAGTTCTATTTACAAGGACTCAAATACTCTGCACCTCCCCACTGAACGCTTCTCCCCGGTTCGGCGCTTCTCAGATGGTGCTGCCAGCATCCAGGCTTTCAAAGCCCACCTGGAGAAGATGGGCAATAACAGTAGCATCAAACAGCTTCAGCAGGTAAAAGAGAGGGGTGGGAGTCCTCAAAAGAGCCTCTGCAAGGGCTTTTTATTGCCTCAGCCCTGCTGCTTCAGGAAGCAAAAGGTGAAATCTGTATCACTAATGGCTGTGCACATGCAGTGGTGGCTTTCCAGCCGAGGAGCTGTTCCCCCTCTGTCCGTCTGCAGCAACCCTGCTGGGTATCCTCTAAACGTATGTGCTGTTCACCTGTAGGCTGGGAACCTTGGGGGCTTCCACCCCCCTTTTTCTGGGCAGCAAACTACATGCTGTGCCCACACATGGGCTGTTATGCCTGCCCTTGCGGGTCCCACCAGCACTGTCAGGCTGCGGCTGCTGCTCTCCTGCATTTCCTGCGGCAGCAAAGTTTTGGGGCTGTTCCAGGGTGTCCTGGGAAAAGGCCAGAGTTTGGAGTGTATTGTATACAGTTATTCCCTACGCAGCCAGTGCACCTCTTATCAATGGCTTGAGCGGGATTTGGCCCCAGGACAGGACTTTCACCTTGCAACACGGTAGAAATATGAGATGCTCTTTTCACCTTGAAGTTGTTATTACTAGAGCTTTGTGCTTGCGTTTTTAAGGGAAGGCAATGGTACCAGCTTGGTGTCATGTGCACCCATTTCTTTTCTGTTGTCTGAGGTTTGAGGTAGCCATGTTATTACACACCTGATTATGTCAGATTAAATGGATTAGGCTTTCTTTACCGGCTTTTTCAGATGGGTAGGCTTCAGAGAGTGTTTTTTTGTACAGCAAGTGTGCCATGCCCAAAAAGGTCACTTACAGGGTGCGTTGGATTTGTTACAGGAGTGCGAGCAGCTTCAGAAGATGTATGGTGGGCACATGGACGAGAGGACACTGGAGAAGACACAGCAGCAGCACATGTTGTACCAGCAGGAGCAGCACCATCAGATTCTTCATCAGCAGATTCAGGTACTGGAGCCTGAGCCAGACCTTCTGAAGACTTCCCTGTGTTTTCCTGCATTGCTGCAGATACAACTACCGAGCAGGTCCCGGTGGGATTGAGGAGGGTAGATTGCTCGGCTTGCTGTAAGCCTGAAGGACTTCAGCAGTGATGTTTGCACAGCTGCTGCGACAGCCAGAGCTGCAGTCAGGGACTGAGTATTTGGTGAATCTGGATATGTCCTACTTCACCAATCAGTGTTTTCTAAATTTACTAGTTGAGACATTATTGATTGTAAACACTTCTTGTTTTCTTCCGGTGCCTGGTTCAGGACTGTATCCGGCCACCCCAGCCATCTCCCCCCTTGCAAGCTCCATGTGAAAACCAGCCAGCTCTGCTCACTCACCAGCTTCAGAGGTAAAGAAATGGCTCAAGTAATGCTCTGGGGAATGGGTTTTACTCTTACTCAACCTTGGGGATGAGCTAATGCAGTTAGAGTCCAGGGCCAGGTTGGAAGTGTATAAAGTGAGAATGGCAGAGCCGGTTCCCAGGTGAACGTGCCCAGTCCTTTTAGCTGGATTCTGTTGGAAGGACTTTTAGAAGCAGAGAAACATAATTTAAAGGCACAAATCTGCTTTGAGCAGATGATTGACAGTTCTGCCTTTTCACTGGCTTGAAAATGCATTACCTTCAGTAGCCGGTTTCTCTCCTGCTTTCTACTTAGAGCTGCTGCTGGACGTCTCACACCTTTTCAGGCTTTTGGTTAGATAGCCGTCCTTGGCTTCAACACCCTGAGTTGTAGATGAGGTAGGCTGAATGATGGACAAGGAGAAAGGAAGGTTTCTCACTGGCCCCAGCAAGTCAGGAGGTGAGCCTGCAGTGTCCTCGTCCCTGGGTTTCTGTTGCAGCCACCGGGTTATGCTCACTATGTGTGTGACTGAGGCAAGTCAGGTGGCTCTCAGAAGAGAAGCCAAGCTCTAAAGAGCTTGGGATCCCAAACAAGGGCTTTATGGTGTTTATCGAAAACAAGAGAAGCGCAGCATTTGGCATCAGCTCTCACAGTTCAAAAGGCATCTTAATGAGGAGCAGGCATGACGAAAAGATGCTTGTTTCCCTGCGTAGGTTACGGATTCAGCCATCCAGCCCGCCCCCGAACCACCCTAATAACCATCTCTTCAGGCAACCAAACAGCAGCCCACCTCCTGTGAGCAGCAGTGTGCTCCAGCCCCATGGTAAGCGCTGACAGTTTATTGAGCCATCTGCGCTCCTCTGGGCAGGCCGCTTGGCAGAACCGTATGGTCCTATCAAACCTCCAGGGAAAAGAATGTGTGGGGGTGCTGGGGGCTTCAGTTCCCCCCCTGCGGCCTCATCCTTGCGCCGTTTGCTGATGATGTAAAAGATTCTCCATCTGGCAGCAAGGGCTGGTGTTATCGAGAGCTTGTGAGGAGCTGCCAGCTGGAATGTGCTGTTGGGTTTCTTGTCATAAGATCCTTACTTATCGCTCCCGGGGGTGGGGAGGAAGGGCTGATATTCTCGGGTTTATGCAAATCACTGTCAACTCCACTTTGTTTCTCTTTCTGTGCAAGGGGCTCTAGCTGTGACCTTTGCACGCTGGCGCAATGTGACAGAGCGGTCGGGAGTAGCGCTCCTCTTGCCACCCACAGACACGTACTGGGACTCCCAGCGTGGCCCAGAGGAGCAGCAGCTCCCGCGTGGGGCAGATCTCGCTCCCAAGCCTTGCCGCAGGCTGGCGCAGGTGCTGAGGGTCTTTGTTCCTTGTAGGTGCCGCCTCCCAGTCTCAGTTCCAAGGCATGCCGTCCCACAACACAATCTTCCCGCAGTCTGGTAACTGTTCCCCTCCCCCAAACATGGGGCTGACGTGCCTGGGCCTGCAGCAGCAGTCGCAGCCTCAGCAGGTCACTATCCAAGTGCAGGAGCCCGCCGACCTGGTTAGCAACAACCTCCTGCAAGGGGCCTCTGTGGCTGGGCAGGGCATGTCCTCCCACGCACGGGGCTTGCCCATCAGCCCCAGTGCCAACCAGATCCAGATGCAGCACCGTGCTAACCTGATGGCCTCCCTCACCTACGGCCACAGGCAGCTGTCCAAGCAGCTCAGTGCCGACAGCGCCGAGTCGCACAGGTAAGGCTGCCGGCCTTCTCTGCACTGCTTCCCTGAGCTGGGAGCAGGGAGGAAGAAGAGGGGGCGGGTATCTCTCGGGCCGAGACGTGGTTTCCTCACCAGCCTGGGGCTGTGCTGCACTGGTTTCGGGGAGCAAGCTGTGTCTCCCCGCCCCTGGGCAGCAGCTCCTGAGCCAGGTCAGAGCTCTGAGAGTCTTCAGGGCTGCTGTATCGCGTGGCTTAGGGAGCATCTCCTGCCCAGGAGCAGCTCTGTCTGCCTCCTGACCCAAGAGGGCAGCCCGGCATGCCTGGCTGAGCCAGAGCTGCTGCAGTGCACTCACTTGTTCTTTTCTGTTCTTTGCAGTCTGAACGTGAACAGGTATCCCCCCGCCAACTATGACCAGGTGCACTTACACCCCCACCTGTTCCCAGAGCAGCCTCGCGTTTCCCCCAGCAACTACAGCCCATCGGGAGGAGTTGGGTTTCCTCCAGCTCAGCAAGCTCTGAAAGTCCCACAGCTTGACCAGTATCCCAGTTTCCCTCAAAACGCACATCAGCAACAGCAGCACTACACTGCATCAGCACTACAGCAAGCACTGTTGTCTCCAACGCCTCCTGACTACAGCCGACACCAGCAGGTACCGCACATCCTCCAGGGACTGCTTTCTCCCCGGCACTCGCTCACGGGGCACACGGACATGCGGCTGCCCCAGGCAGAATTTGCACAGCTCATCAAACGGCGGCAACAACAGCAGCAGCAGCAAGAATTTCAAGAGTTGTTCAGGCATATGAGCCAAGGGGATGCTGGGAACATGGGCACCAGCATGGGACAGAACCTCTCGGAGCGCCAGTCGTTGTCTTTGCCTTATCAGAGTGCTGACACGTACCACCCACAGAACAGCCCCCAGCACCTCTTAAAAATCAGGGCGCAAGAATGTATCCAGCAGGTACCCGCGTCAGTGCCACCCCACGGATATGTACACCAGCCAGCCCTGTTCCATTCAGAGAGCATGGAGGAGGACTGCACGTGCGAGGGTGCCAGGGACAGCTTTCCAGACAGTAAGAGTTCAAACACATTGACCAAAGGTTGCCACGAGACCCCTCTGCTTGTAAACGCAGGAGGGCACGGGGACCCAGAATCTTTACTAGGAACTGCTAATCACGCGCAGGAGTTGGGGACGCATCAATACAGACATCAGCCCGCTGCTGGATTCAGTAGGAATAAGGTGCCCAGCAGAGGTAAGGCTTCCTGCTGCTCACATGGACAAAACGCTCTTCCATGCTGGCTGCGTGCCACTTGCCTTCCTGCCGGAGGACACCATCTCTACCCGGCACGGCAGGGGTTTCGTGACATGTTTTGCATAGCACAGAATTACCTAGATTCTTTTTGGCTTTGGGGGCCTTAAGTAAATTGCAGGCATAGTCTCTCTCATCAACATCGTTAAATAAGAAGGGGACCCGATCGGCTGCTTCTCTTTGGAATTTGACCTACTTCCACAGGCAGGTGAAGACCAGGTCCCAGAGTACTGCCATGTTTTCAGGGATGCTGTGTACTGTTGATGTTTTTATTCTTGTTGATGTTCCCCATCCTGTGTAAACAACGGGCTAGAAACAGTTAAGTTACTAGCGCAGCCCCAACTGCAGCAGTCTGTCCCTTCTCTTCAGAACAGACCCTTGAGTCCTGGCATTGCTAAAGCTTCCACAAACGTGCACAGTAAGAGTGGTGGTAAAAGTCTTGCGGCTAGGGCTGCCTTGCAGGAGCTCCTCTGGCGCTTTGGGAAGCAGCAGCAAGACTCTAGCCCTGCTTGAACCAGAAGGGCTTGATTCTGAAGAAAGTGAGTTTAAACTTGAGTCCGAAGACCTTTTCTGCTAGTTGGAAGCAGTTATGCCTTTGCTCCTTGGTGGCTGTGTTGGCAGCAGTGTGCTGTAAGAGAAATTCCTGCCTGAGCTGTAATTACAGGCCTTCTCTGTATGAAAAACACACCATCTTACCCCCTTGCTAAGAGGGCTTTGAAGAGAGGCTTTCCAGGCTGAGCTGGGTGGATCAGTATTCAGTGCAGGACTGAGTGGTGCTGGTCCGAAGCCATCGGCTTGCCCTTGGCACAGAGGACCCTACTGTGGAGGAGCAGTGTCCCGGGCACAGGAGGCACAAGCTTTGTAAGGGGAGACAGCACGGGTTTGTTGGGAAAGTACTGGGTTGGAACAGACTGGCTCGGAGGGCAGAGCAGGCATGCCAAGCCCTGGCCCCCCAGAGCGTGGGTGGGGGGTAGGGATAAGGCATGGCTTTTCCAAAGTTTTCTTAAATTGTGGGTTACTGATGCGTTTGTCTCAGACCTCAATTCCCCTGCCATGCTTGAAGAACAAAAGGGAAGAATCGCTCCAGGTTAGGCAAAGTTTGGAAACTCTGGAGGTGCATTTTGTACCAAATCAAGAGTTTGCATCTTAGTATTGTAGACCATTAGATGAACAACAAAATTTCATGAAGTTGGAAGCTATATTTCTGCCCCTGTACTGATGGTGCTAGAACCAGTTACACAAGGGAAAAGGACTTTAGACTACAAGACTTTGTAAATGAGTAAAAGCAAGTAAATGTTTACAAATAGAATTGTGTAAGCCCTTCTGGCAGTGCTGTTTGGGTGCTCACATAGTAAACTATGTCCTGAGATACAACCGCTCACACTGCTTTCCTCCTGGCTTCGATAACCCACTTGGAATCAGGCCTGTGCTGCTTTGGTTCCAGGCAGAGTTGACATCTAAGCAGCCTAGGTACCCCTTCCTACAATTAAATCCTACGAAACTCCAGTGGATGTGCCAGTAGCATGCTGGCGCTTCACTCGCTCACGTGTAGCATTCCCAAGTGCGCTGTGCAAGGCACAGAGGGCTGACCGGGGAGACTTGCCCCAGCCGAGCATGGCTCCTCTCCCTGAGCACTGGTGCTGACAGCTGGGCTTTCTCAGCCACATCCCTGGGTTTTCCCATTATTTTCCCTATACTGTGTTACGAGGCCACAGCCTCTCTTGGCACAGGGGCGGGGGGTGGTATCTTCTCTTCTGCCCAGCTCACCAAATGTATTTTCCCTAGAGCGAAGCGTACCTTTGCAGTGGTTCAGGAGTATTTGTGCCTTACGAGGGAGCGTGTTGACCCTGATCAAAAGGCTCTGGCTTGTATGTTGAGCATCTGCTGGAGATGGCAGCCAGAGACTGTGAGAGGGTTGACCAAATCTGTGTTTAGGATGTGACTAAACTGCCTTTGAACGGCTCTGCTCCAGTTTTGCTCCAACCTAGCCGTCACAGGGCTGGGAATGCTGCCCATGGGAAACCTGCCTCGCCTCAGCACTGAAGGAGCTGAGCTGGCAGCTGTGGCCCTGCCCGTGGTGCCAGCGTCACATGCCGCACTGACACAAAGGCTGCCTGGCGCAGGAGCCCCATCCCCTATGGATGCAGGGATGAAAAGCTCTCCTGCTGCGGGTTCAGGCTGCTGGAGCAGGGTTGGAGCAAGGAAAGGAGCGTGAATGCAGGCCGTCCTGTCCCTCAGCCTGAGCCGCATCCCCAGAGGTGCTGTGCTGGCAGTGGGAAGCGTGCAGTTGTCTTTTGGGTCCAGGCTATTCCAGGCTGAGGGGACTCGTCCCGCTGTGCCTCATCACCTGCAGTGCAGGGGCTGGTGCCAGGGCTTGCCGCTGGGCCTGGCTGCAGGAGCACTTCGGCACTGGGGCTGTTTGTGGAGCTGGAGAAGCAGGCTGCCGGCCTGAACAACCGTTCCCACAGTTGGAGCGGCATCCTGAGCAGTGTGTGGGTGGCACTGCTCCGCCAACATCTGTTACCTCATGTTTTCCTTCTCGCTTTTCCGGGAAAGCTGACTGTTAACCGCACGTAACCCCACAGTTGTGCAAAGGAAGGGGGAGGCCGGCTGCATCTCCGCCTGCCCCAGGACAGGGTTCCTGCGGGACTGCTGTGTCTCTGAGGGAGGGAGGAAAGGTCTTGGGGGAGCGGGATGGTAGCCACGCTCACGTGCCCGGGAGCGGCATTGAGAGCTCAGGTGGGAGACTGCGCCTGGGACGGGGTCTCGTTTGGGTCCTGGTAACTTTATGGCCAGATCTGGTTGGGGAGCATCTTTCTGGCATCTCACGATTGCAGGCCTGGCCAGGAGGCGCAGTGTCCTGGCACAGTGGGAGATGGCTTCCCGCTGGCCAAAGCCCCGTGAAAGCCAATAGCTTTGGCTGGGGAATCTACCTGCAGCTGTGTCATTTCAGGGCAGCTCCCTAGTGCTCGTGGCCACGTCCGCATGTTTGTGCTCTGTGGGAGTGCTTGCTGAGAGCAAGCTGTTTACGTGCATGAGACCCAATGATAGGCTTCTCCATACCTCAGGACTTTATTCAAAACATCATGTACTTGATGATGAGAAGTTTTGCTTGATAGGAATGTAGCCTTTACCCCCGGTCATAAGAGTTTGCAGTGCAGATGGACTTTGCCAGGCAGAACACTCCTGTACTCCTACAGCCGGATTGTAGGAGGGCAGGGAGAAGTCATCTGATAAAAGCAAATATCCCGGTTAGCTCTTCCAGCAAGATTATGTTGCTCGCGATTGCCGAGGGGCCCTGCTAGAACATCCCGTGTTGGAGGCTGAGGAGATGCTTCTCCCTTCGCTCTTGTGTAATGATGTGGGCAACGCAGGGAGGAGGGCAGAGGGCGAGCTCGGGCTCGAGGGGAAGGCGGCAGTGCTGGGAGATAGTCAGAAAGAGTCTGGTCCCTGTGCTGTGGTGCTCCTGCCCCATCCCTCCAATTTCAGGCTGCTTTTGTAGACCCCATCAGAGGCAGCTAGCATTGGGATCTTTCAGGATCTCGATGCTGGTGGGCGAGAAGCCTGCCCGAGTGCCATCCTGGGGGGGAGGCCCTGGTGCTGCATCACTTCAACAGGAGCAGCCAGGGGTCCCTTTCCGCCCAGCCAGCCGCACACTGGTCTGCCAGCAATGAGCGTTCGCTCATGCCGTCAGAGCTCAGACACGCAGTTTTGCAGTGGCACGCGTCGCCGAGAGCTGCAGGTTTCTTGTACTAATCTGTCGTTTTTCTGTCTTCTCTGACTTTCAAGAGTCCATCGTAGGGAACTGTATGGACAGGAGTTCCCCCGGCCAAGCGATCCAGGTGCCTGACCACAACGGACTGGGCTACCCTGCACGACCCGCCTCCAGTGAGCACCCGCGGCCCAGGACCCTGCAGAGACATCACACCATTCAGAACAGTGATGATGCCTACGTAGGTTTGAAGAGGCCTGTGCCCGACGGGGCTTAAAGCAGTGCAGAGCTTCCTTGACGTGTGTGGGTTATGTATGACGTGTCGCATAGGCAAGGCAGCGCCCTGCTCTGTGGTGTTGCTGGGAATGAAAAGCCGTGAGGGTGCTTCAGTTAGTATGTACTGTTCACTTAACATGGAAAACAGCTTAGCAGAGATCAGTATGGATGTGCTCCTCCTTCGCTCATGGTTTGCCCCAGGGCTGGCTGCTATAGCCGTGGCATCTCTTCTTTTTCCTCCAAGGTCCTTCTGATGAAACAGGCTGGGATGCCCCAGGCCTGGCTCGCCACAGAGGGCTTTGCAGACACGCCAAGCCTGCCTTTCGGTTCTGCAGTGCTGCTGAACGAGCTGGCCCTGGCAGCCCAGACCTTGACTGAGAGCACAGAGTGGCTGCTCTGCTTTCCCTGTGTTTCGGGCCACTGGGAAGTGTCCTGCCCAAATCTTGATGTGCTCTTTGCTGCAGCTCCCTTCTGGTATAAATGAGAAGGGCTTGTCCCTAGACAGTTCAGTGTAGGTCTGGAAGGCACTTGGACTGTCCAGTCCATTCTTGGTTTGAGGGGACATCTGCTGCCCCTGAGCTGTACCTGGTGTGCAGTTTTTGCTTAGAAGCCCTTGCTGAAGGCTTGCAGAAGCTCCCCAGACAGCCTGTCAGAGGGCTGCGGGAGCAGCGGGGTGCCTTGTCCCGAGCCCCCTTTGACTTGTGTCCTCCTGTCTCCACAGGTGCAGTTAGATAACTTGCCTGGAATGAGTTTAATGGCAGGAAAAGCACTAAGCTCTGCTCGGATGTCTGACGCCGTCCTCAGCCAGTCGTCGCTGATGGCCAGTCAGCAGCTGCGTGACAGGGAGAATGAGGGTAAGGACCTGGCCAAGCCGCAGCATGGAGGGTGAGGGGTGCTGCTGGGGGTCTGGGTCAGGAACTGAGGGGACCAGCTTGCAATCTGCATGGCAGACCCACCTCTCCTCTAAGCGAGCAGTGCCTGCAGGGAGTGGGGGGGGTGCATGGGCTGCGGGGGAGTGCATGCTGACGGAGGGCAGCTCCTTGGGTGCTGCTCTCGGTCAGAGCCTGGGCTGGTGGGAGCAGTGATCTAGGCTTCCTGGAAGAAACACAGGGCAGCTCCACCTGTGGCATGACACTTCAGGCCCTGGCGCCATGCTGGGCTGATCCCTGCACTGGAGCTGTAAGTCCTTAGCACTCCTTGTGCAAACTCTGATGTTGTCCTTTGACCTTACAGAATGCGGGGAGAGTTTGGAAGGTCAAGAGCATCCCAACCTAGGTGACGGCAACCAGCATCTAAACACCTCCTGTTACCCCTCGACGTGTATTACAGACGTCCTCCTGAGCTACAAGCACCCAGAGGTGCCCTTTGGGATGGAGCAGGCAGGGGTGTAACCAGGAAGGGAGTGAGTATTCAAGTGTCCTTCTCCTTCCAAGGGCAAGCCTAGGGCCACCTCAGTGGCAGACCCAGAGCTCTGTCGGCCTGGCTTGTGTCCGTGGCTCCCTCCTTGTCCCCTTGCTCTGAGGGGAGCAACGGGCAGCTCTGAGCTTCCGGGCTGGTGGCTGTCTGCTGCCCCCTGTTTGTTCAGGGACAACACCCCTCCTTCCAGGCTGCTTTTCCAGACCACGTCAGCATTGGCAGGGTCTCCCTCCTGGGGCAAAGCTCGTGGGTCTGGACTGGGAAGGCGGTGGAGGGCTGCAGAAGCCAAACTGCCGTCCTCTGGTGTCTCCTGACATCTCTGCTTCTTCTCTCTCTTGCAGGTTTTATGTACAGCTTTGAAACGAAAAGGTCCATTTTAAACCAACAGTATCTAGCAGCATTGCGCCAAATTGCCGTAGTATTTCTGACTAACTGGAATACCATGGCCCCTTTCCTCATAATCAGTTCATCCAGTGTGTTGTTCCTTTTGGTTTCTTTAATTTTTGCCCTATTTGCCTGTAACTCCAGCTATCACAGAAATAACCAGAGAACCCGAGTCCTACGCGTCGGCAGAGGATTCATGGAGCCTGAGCACTGAGTCTGGTTTGGAGGGCTACTTCTGACCAGGGCCAGGTGGGCCCTGGGGGGCTGCTCCGGCCCGCCGCCGTCACCGCCACCTCCGCGCTCGGCGCGCCGCACAGCCGGGACTGAGGCCTCCCTGGTGGGGCAGGGAGCAGGCGGGTGTGGAGCGGGGGTCCGATCCCTGGAGGCCCTGCTATTCTTCCACTCTTTTGAACCCTTTGCACTGGGGAGGGGCCCAGCCTGACCCGAGCCCGGCAGCACTGGCAGGGGCGGGCGAGGATGGTGCCGGCCCGGCCGCGGCCCTGCCCGTGTCCCGGCAGCAGATCACGCATCTGCTCCGGCAGGGACACCCACCCCTGGTGCAATACGCTGCTTGTCTCATCTTTGTCTGCTTTTGTCCCTTCTCTCCGTTTGTCAGCGTGCCGAAAGGATCACCTCTTCCCCGCCCCCTCCTCACCTTGTCTTTTCAAATCCGCATATGACTTGGGTTTTTCTTTCTTTTTCCTGGCCTAATGTAGGGAAGACAGGTTTTTCTTTGTTTTCTTAGCTTCTCCTCCTGATCCTGTAGGAATTGTTTTTTGGTAAATGTTGTTTTATTATTATTGTTATTAATAAAAGGCAAAAGGAATTTCTGTTTGAGAGAAATTTTTAACTAGATTCTGTTCTATATGAATTGTGACTTGCACCTTTTGTTCAAAGTATTTTATTTCTTTTAATGACATTGTACTTGTGACTGGTTTTTTCTCTCGTGCCAGTGGCGACAGTGGTATTCTCCTTTATACACTTCAGACGTGCTTAGATCTCTTCTTTGTCCTTCTTTCCATCCTTTCCTTGATGGATAGAGCGCAAAGCCCCCCCCCAGCCGGGGCTCGGCAGCACTTGGTGTCATCATTGCCTTTGGGACGTTACAAGCTACAGCTCAAATTCTTCTTACTGACACTTTTCGGGAATAGTTTTTTATAAAAGGAAAAAACCGACCCAGCCCTCCTGAATTTGCACAGAAGGAAGTGTGAAACCAGCACGGTGGAGGTGACTTTGCTATCCTTACCCGTGCCTCTTCCCAGCCTCCCCCTTCTCCCCTGCCCCGGGAAAGTAATGCTGTCTGGCTCTGCCATCCCGAAACCCAGAGAGGAGAGAAACTCAGTGGCTGCTGAGTGGCATCACCCAGGCCGGCACTTTCTGCTGGCGTCCCAGTGCCGCGTGGCTTTGCTGGCCGGGCGCGTTTCCTCAGCTGGTGCCAGCAGGCTCAGGGGGCCGTGGGGAGCCAGGCGGGGCCTGCTGGGCCAAGCGGGAAGGTAGTGGGAAACACTGAAAGCCTTTTGCTCTGTACCTTTGGTTTGTTTTCCTTTTGTTTACATGACACTGTATTTCTGGGAGAGTCGACAGCCACCCTACAGCAAGCATCCGAAACAGCAGGGACTCGCTTAACCGTGCCATTTCGCAGTATCACACTTTTTTTATCATTGCTTTGTATTGTAGTAATCAATACGCGCAGTATATGTTGAATGTATATTAATATACTTTGCTATTATTTCTGTTTTTTGGAAATGTCAGAAGTATTTTTTCTTCCTCATTTATGTTGGACTAAAACAAAGAAGTTTCAGTAAATCTTCAGTCCATTTTTTTTGTGGGTCACTTGCAACTAGTCAATTAGTTGGACAGTGGGATCATGACAAATAAAACCATGACGATGATCTTCCCTGGTCTCCTGTTTGCCTTTTGCTCAACGCCTGCCGCGGAGGTGGAACAGCCTCGTGCCTCAGTGGCCGGGGGCAAAAGCTCAAGCTGCGGCAGGGTGGCCGCGCTTGCTCCGGAGCCACCGTGTCCTCGATTCGTCCCCAGACCCCTTGCCTCCTCCTCGGAGGCATGGCCACTGGCTCCGGCAGACTGCTTTGATAGGGTTTCCCGAAGCCCCTGGCTGCTCTGCCTGGCCCCCCTACGCAGTGGTAAGGTCTCCAGCTCTGCAACTTGGCCAAGTCTGACTCGTGGTGTGGGGGACGCGTGGGCAGCTGCAGTGGGATTCACTCAAGTCAGCCTCCACCACGTTCCCAAGCTCCCAGCTGCACTTGCCTGGGGAGCTGGAGCCTTTCGCCAGCTCTGCCCACCCACGTTTGACACCACTGGGACAGTGGTTTGACACCACTTCTTACCCGTTGCAAGGCTGGGATCGCTGCTACTTTCTTCCCTGCCCAGTTTCTTGCCTCCTAGGGCCCAGCCTAAGCCCTGAGGGGCCCTGGGAGCCTGCCTGGGCTGGCTGCAGGTGCTGTGGAGCTCCCTGCCTGCCCAGCTCTGTCCCTTCAGGAGGATGCAGCTTTGAACCAGCTGTGTCAGCTGCATCCTTCCCCGTCCCTCCACGGGCAGGGAAATGTGGTGTTGCAGATCAAACCTGTGTTGTCAAGTGTGTCTTTCCAAGGCCGAGCTTTCCCAGGAGCAGGGCAGTTCTGGGGAGGAGAGGTGAGGGAAGGGGAGCCATGCCTCCTGGATGCTGCAGCACCGGGGTTGCTGATGTGGCGCCCAGCGAACCAGGCTGGGCTTGGGGCCACAGAGAGCCAGTGCCACTCTGAAGCAGGGAGCGTTGCTCCTCTGGAGCAGCGGGCAGCTTCCCCGTGGCATTAACCAGCCCGTCCTGCAGAGCCGTCTGGGGGACATGGCCCCTTTCCCCCCTGTCCCCTCTTCCCAGGCTGGCGGCAGTGGGATGGGGCAGCACCTCGGTTTGGCTGCAGAGCGGCTTCAGGCCAAGCGGGGGGGTTGGAGCGGCCATGCCAGGGTGCTGGCTGTGGCCAGGCTGGTGTTTGCTCCAGGCTGAGCCTTTGCTTTGCTGCTCAGGTCCCCAGGGAGGGCTGGTGGGAGCATGCATGGGGGTGCAGCTCCTGGGACCTCTGCATGGGGGACGCACCAGGAAAAGATGGTGCTGTGAGCAGCGTGGGTCTCACTGGCCTGGGGAAGGATGGGGCAGAGACCCACAGCGGTGGCGAGGGGAGGACGAGGGGTCTGGATACAGCCAGCCAAATCTCTGCAGGTATAAGCCCAGTCCCTGGGCTGCCGGCCAATCTCCGGGGGCTGCCGAGAGGCCCCGGCGAGGCCGCAGCGGCGAGCGGGAATCTGGGTCACCGGGAGCGTAAACAGGCTCCTTGGCCAGCGAGGCGCATCCCGCAGGGATCTCCTTGTTTGCTCGCCGCCCCTGCCAAGCCGGCGCTCCTCAGTGCTGGCCCACGCGCGCGATCCTTGAACTCTACACGCCACAACGCCCGAGCCGGGGAGCGATTTCTTGGGCTGCAGTGCTGGCTTATCTCCGGCGGGAACTGCCCCCTCCTGTATAAATAGCAGCGGTGGGGAAGCGGCCAGCTCAGACGGGACGACCGGCAGCACAGCAGCAGCAGGAGGAGAGCTGGTAAGAGCCTGGGCTGCTCCAGGGGCTCCCGAGCCATTGCGGCACCATAGGGGCCAGAGTCCTGCTGCTCCTGGGGACCCTGCGAGCTGGGGTGGGGGGCTCAGTTCCCACCAGGGCTGGCTTTGCCCCGGGGCTCCCTGCACTCAATTCTTGCTCTGCCCCCCAGGTTCAGCGCCAAGATGAGAGCCGTGGTGGTGACCCTCGCCCTGCTCTGCCTGACGGGTAGGTCCAAACGGGGTCGGTGCTGGGCTGGGGCGGGACAGAGCAGGACTGGGCAGCCGAGCCCAACGCGAGCACTGCTGGAAGCGCCCGGCTTCCAATGTGCTTCGCAAGTCAGGCTGCAGCCAAGCGGCTCCCCGGTCACCTCCTGAGCCGGGCAGGTCCTGGGGGCAGCGACGGGCAGAGTGGCGGGGCCGGAGCCGTCCCCACCACTGTCCCACCGGGTGGTCTGTCCTGAGCGTGCTGGGCTCTCTCCACAGGCACCCAGGCCCGCTACTTCTGGCAGCATGATGAAGCCCAGACGCCCCTGGATCGCCTCAGGGACATGGTGGAGGTGTACCTGGAGACGGTGAAGGGCAGCGGCAAGGATGCCATCGCCCAGTTCGAGTCCTCTGCTGTGGGCAAACAGCTGGAGTAAGTTGGGGGGGGCGTGTGGCAGTGGAGGAGGGTGTCAGCAGGGGGGCCCCAGGCACCGTGCGTGACCTCCCTCCACTCCCCGTAGCCTGAAGCTGGCCGAAAACCTGGACATGCTGGGTGCAGCCGCCGCCAAGCTGCGGGAGGACATGACCCCCTACTACAAGGAGGTGCGGGAGATGTGGCTGAAGGACACGGAGGCTCTGCGCCAGGAACTGACCAAGGACCTGGAGGAGGTGAAGGAGAAGATCCGGCCCTTCCTTGACCAGTTCTCCGCCAAGTGGACGGAGGAGCTGGAGCAGTACCGCCAGCGCCTGGCGCCCGTGGCCCAGGAGCTGAAGGAGCTTACCAAGCAGAAGGTGGAGCTGATGCAGGAGAAGCTGACCCCGGTGGCCGAGGATGTGCGGGACCGCCTGCGCGAGCACGTGGAGGAGCTGCGCAAGAACCTGGCGCCCTACAGCAATGAGCTGAGGCAGAAGCTGAGCCAGAAGCTGGAGGAGATCCGGGAGAAGGGCATCCCCCAGGCCACCGAGTACCAGGCCAAGGTGGTGGAGCACCTCAGCAACCTGCGCGAGAAGATGACGCCCCTGCTGCAGGAATTCAAGGAACGCCTCACTCCCTATGCCGAGAGCCTCAAGACCCGCTTCATCACCCTCCTGGATGACCTCCAGAAGAGCGTGGCCTGAGCCGCCGGCCGGCACGGCCAGGGACTGACCCCGGCCCCGCTCCTGCAGCCGCCCCAGGGCCGCTCCCTGCCCTGACCGGGGTGCCTCCCCCCCAGGGGGGCTCTGGGGACGGGCTGTGGGAGCCCTGGGCCAGGCCAGCCCCAGGGCATCCTCCCTGGGGACCCTCCTCCTCCCTTCCCGCCGCCTCCCCTCCCCGAACCGGCGTCGGTCTCAGCTTTGCCTTCCTTTTGTCAAATAAACGTGACTTAAGTTATTGGAGCTCACTCAGTCTTTGCAGTGGATGCTGGAGGGAGGCAGCCTGCACGCAGTGCTGGGGGCGAGGGCTGCTCCAGGCAGGGGGTGCTGGGGGGACCCAGGATCGGGGGGTGAAGCTAGCAGGGTGGGTGCCCTGGGCTCTCCCTGCCGCTGAGCCCAGCTCTGCCTCGGCTTGGCCCTGCACGAGACTCTCCCCACTGGGCAAAGGGCTCTGTCGGGGCGGTGGAGAGCGGCAGGGGCTGGTTTTGCAGAAGCCAGATCCCCCCCAGCTTGCGGGAGTGGCACCCAGCTCCTGCTGCCCTGGGCACGTGCGCGTGGGGCAGTGGCACGCGGTGCTCGCCCCGTGGCGAGGGGTCATGGCACCCTGGCATGGCTGTGTGCAGCCCCGGCGGGGGGGGAGCAGCACCCCGGCGCGGGCGTCTGTCCCAGCCCTTCCTCGCCTGGCAGTGTACATTCCTCCTTGCCGTCCCGTCCCCCCCCCAGTGACGCCGCCACAGCCGTCTACTTCAGCGCCGCTTTATTGCAAGAACCGTGACAGTGAGTGGGGAGCTGGGGGCACCCCAGCCCGGCTGGCCCTTGGCCAGCCCCCGGTGGGGCTACGCGGCCGGCATTGGCTTCCAGAACTCCAGCAGCTGCTCCTTCAGCCAGACCAGCCGCTGCTTCGCCAGGTCGGCGTTGCCCCCCAGCCATTGCCTGCAAGGGGAGGGGGCTCAGAGCAGGGCACCGGCCGGGCTCCCCCATGGGCAGCGGGACGGCAGGGCCAGGTGCCCGGGCTGGCGGG